AATTTTAGAATTATTTTTTTATTATATTGTTTATAAGTGACCAGTTCTAAGAACTTTCAGTTTGACCCTCGTATGATGTATTATATGATGAGTCTGCGATATATAGGACAATACATGTTACCTAGGTTTATGCAATTGAAAATTCAGAATCTGTACTCGATTTGTGTCTCCTAGTCTTATTATTAGGTATTTATCACGTCTGATGGATTAATCTAATGATTGGTAAAAAAACTTTCTTTTTTTTTGACAGAGGATGAATAATAAGATGAATGCGAAAAGCCGACCTCTTTTCGGCTCGCATTCGGATACTTCCGCAATAAATATAAAACATCTGGTAAGGTTTTTGAGAATTGAAAATTTCTTTTTTTTTTTTATGATAACAAAATCTCTTTTATTTTTCCTTTACTTTTCAAATAACATCTTTCTTAATTTGAACTATATTTTTATGCGTTTTTCTTTTATTGAACATTAACAAAAGATTTATTTAAACCTATTTTTAAAAAGAAATGCTAGTGATTTTCCGTGTTTTGCTTGGAGATGAATAATATTTACAAATTTTATTGAAATTTATCAGATTTGCATGATTAATATGTATTTAAATGAAGATATTTTTAACACATTAACATACTAAAAATACTTGATTATTATGCTAAATAAAACAAGTTTGTTTCAATAAACAAAAACAAATTTAGATTACCGCGGAATGTTGAATTTGTTAACAACTAATTTTCTGGAGCTTTCTAAAACCGGAACTTTACTAATACCTTCCGGATATGTCGAAAATTACTATTACGTCATTTTTCACATACCCGAATGTTGAGCTGCCTAGTCTATTAGACTGAGAGCTCTTCACAGAAATGTGCAAGAGTTTTTGTAAGCTTGATTTTTATTGAATTGAGTATGTTGACGTACTAAGTCTTCGCATCGACGTACAGAGTAGATTCGACTCGATGTAAAAATATTGATAAAAATATAGTTGCTATGCTAGAGCCAAAAATAATTAATTGCTCCATAACTCTCTATATATAAAAGCAGAAAGTTCAGATTTGGGAAGTGTTTATATAAATTCAAGGTCCATTTAATGAAAAAAAAACTCAAAAGTCATAAAGTTAGTAGGTACTTCACTTGTTTTTTTTTTACATCGTTGACCTGTGCTACCTGTGACGCATTAGTGTTCAGGCAATCCACTCAAACAGCCGAAAGTAATATTGTTACAAATATTTTTTCATCTTGAGGTATCTGGGACTGGTGACTTTTTTGAAACATTTTTCTTTAAGATACTAATTTTCTGAAAATTTTCGAAATTAATTAAATATTCTTTCTTCTGCCGATATATAAACTGTAGTTTATCTGAATAATGGTTGGTATATCATTGTCACATGTGGCCAGATGTTTAAACGATGACAGAATAACAGTCGGTCATGACACGCTACGTTGCACACATGTTCAATTCTTTCATTATCGCGCAGGGTTGTCGAAATCGAATTAATTAAAATATTTTCTGATAAAAACTTGGAAACGCAAAGAGTAAAAATTCCAATCTATGAAACTTGCATTGATTTTTTATTTAATGTACAAAGCGAAGAATTTAATTTATTTAAACATACAGTGCATGCACGCGTATACACATGAATTAAACTCCGTAAATATATAATAAATACTATACTATTTTATATTTACAATGCTCCCGTTAACAATAAATGTAGGTACCATCATCAACTAAAACCTAATCCATTGAATAATTTCGTATGTATTTAAATAGTTTGATTAGAAATAGAACCTACAATATCATGTATTTAAGCATTTTTGCGTCAGTCAGTGCTGTTAACATGAAAGTGCATTTTTATATTGTACAAAATTAAAATGTATACCGATCCACTAAAGTTAAAAGTCGTATAGCGATAATTTGGAGATCCCCTGAACAAGAAAATTCTCATTGATATTTAGTAGTGCTCAAGTAGTGCTTGAGTGAATACCGTAGCTCAGCAAGCATAATATATGACGCATGTCTTCTAGGCGACAATTTCAAATCACAAGCAAAGCTAAATGAAAGATGCCATAAACAGTGGCGGACTAAAGAGGGAGCGGAGGGGGCGGTCCGCCCCGGGCCACTGGGGGGCCTCCAAATGGCTATAAGTTCCCTTGGTCGGTGTAAACGCAATATCAAGTATTTTTTTCCATATGCCCGACGAGGTTAGTCCGCCACTAGCATAAACGAGGCAAAATAAACAATATTGAAGAAAGTACTATGATTAAAAGTGAATTATTATAAGTTGAAGTATATATAAAGTAAAGGTAAACACTTTATTGTGAAACACACAACAGAAGTAAAGAAAAAGAATAACATTGCAATTCATTTTTCACAAGGCTGCTTTATTGTCATAACCCATCAGCACTGAAATAATGTGATGTAGGTGGTAATGTGCATAATAATTGAAATGAAATATTAACTATAATTTATAGATATGTATACTGAATAAATAATAATTAATAATTTATCCGGATAAGTTAATTTTAAATAATTTGTGCTAGCCCTACATGCATGTTTCAGTGTAACACGTGATATCGTATTAGCTACATTAATGTATGCATTTGAAATAGTTTTGCGTTATTGTTATTTTGTTGTCATCTTTACTATAAGTTTTTATTTATTTATAATAGATTCGGTATTAAAGGTTTTAATGAACTTCTTTAATTTTTGTAAACTAATATATAAGACGTCCTTCGTGGCTGTTCGGATCGTACGCCTGATTCAATGTTTCGCTATATCTGAGGTCTCGGGTTCTATTCGCAGTCAATGTGGAAAAGTAGCCATTCTATATTTTGATTCGGTTCTCGTCGGGTCTGGTCTGGATTTTGTGGTGCCTTTGTTCTTTCATATAGGTATAAAAAACTGGTAAATACTCTAATACAATAACTTTGCTTTTGTTGTCTTATAAGATTTGAAAACACAGTTCGACAGGACTTAACAAAGTTTAGTTTGTGCAACACAATTGCTATCAGTATCAAACTGAACAGACATTGATAACAATTCTGATGCACAAATTAGACTAAATTTAGTTCTAATCCTGTCAATTGTTATTACAGTTGTCTAGGAGCGAATGCTGTATGGCATTAAGTCTTCGTTTACGTTATTGTAATAAAAGTTAAATAAAAAATAAAAATTACGTAAACAACAAAGATAACAGAAGTGAATTAATTATATTACAGAAAGCACTACAATTACATTTTATGGATTGGGCATTTTTGTGACTACACTATGCCGTAAGATAAAACAAATAGAAATTATTATTATTAGTTGTATACACAAAATTGACATCATTGTTTGTACTATAGACTAAAAATATTTTTTTTATAATAAGACAACAACATTAGATTCCAAGGTGAGTAGCTTAAGCCAACGTAGTATGGAGTATCTAAGACAACAAACGTACCTCATCATCCAGACCCAAGACAAAATAGTAAAGTAAATCTTCTACTATTTTAAAATTCTAAAACCAGAAATCGGATCCAGAACTTCGGAGTTGGCGATACCTTGTTACGTTGGTCGTCAAGTTGAAGAATAGGGTCTTAAATACATAATTATTTAAATGTCATTGAGTCCGAAAGAAATGCGGTCAACTAAAATTATTGCCTGTGTATTTCTTTAGTTATTTGCTATTAATAAAAAACTGCCGTTTATAGTTTTTTTTTAAAGACATCATATCAATTAATAATAATAGTAGATTTATTATCCATGGACCTGCTGTAGAACGGAGCTGTCCTTGTCAAATAAATAAAAAAATATACAAACTTTTTAAGTATTGATAGTATTGATTAAGGCACGAAGGTTCCAGAAAATAAACATAAAATAATTAAATACTTGAAAGTCAAAAACTACTGATATAATAATATACAATCAACTATAATTCTCCCTCTAACAAAACAGCAAGTCTGAGTGACAAAAATGAATATAATAGAAAAAAGGATATTACAGACTTATTTAATTTGTATTTGACTAGTTAAATATATCTATTTCTTTATTATTTTCGACCATTACATTCGAAATTATAATCCCATCTAAATAACAAAGACACGTTTTATTATTATTAAAACATCCTCTTAATTATACTTAATTGGAAATAGATTTCAAGGCATCAAGATGTGATAGAACTGGCCATACACGTTTCATTTGATACATAATTATATTAGTAAACTCAAACAACCAAGCCTTAATCTTAAGCAAACAAATACAACACCATCTTTGGACCTAAAATACAAACAAATTTTCGAGGTCAGTGTAGAGATCACAGTTAACATAGTAGTGCGAATCCTAATAAGGAAAAACCTTAATTGATATGTTAGTTTCATTTATTATTATTATGAGGTAATCTTAAAGAACATAATTCAGTTTGTAAAGTCTATTATCATTTTATTATTATAACTTTTAGTGATTTCATCTTCAACTCTTGGCTGATTACTAGAATACGCCACCCGTAAAACAAAGTCCGCATTAAATTCATAAGCATCATTATAACACTTATTTACATTTGCTTTTTTTTAATTACTATCTTTGCTGTACTGAATGGCACAGCTTATTAAAGTATAATGATTGTTTATGCGTAATCGTGTCTTTAATGTCAACTACATTAAAATGTCAACAAATACAATGGAAGGTGAATTTATATTCTTCAAGCCATTCTGAAATAAACAAAATATGCCCTTCCTGAGTTTCTTGCTAGTTTTACTCAGTTAAAGTTAAAGTAGGTTTTCGGCTTTCACTAGTAGATAAGTGAAAGCCGAAATAGCCTATTAATTGTCTACTTAATAGGAAATTCATAACGTATATTATATATGTATAGCATAGCGTTCATACGAGAAGCATGATTTAAACATTCGAAAACGCTGAACTATGAAATGTAAAATACTCGTAAATCTGAGTTAAAAACAAAACAGTATTTTAGAGAAATTGATGTATTCGAATTTACTCATTTTATCTTCCAGGTGACCGACCTCTTCGGTCAGATGCGAGAGTCACCCTCGGGGGCGAATAGCCCCAGAAGTTCCACAGGATCATTGGCTGGTGGGGCTGTGACCAAGAACCTAGGCTTCCAGCAACAGCAAGCGGAGTACCCTTGGACCAGCTCAGCTATCTCGTTGGCAGGAAATTGCAACTCAAATCTGTAAGTTTAATAGTTAATTTTAAAAATTGTAATCATATCGAGAAGCTTTATCATCTTCAGCAGGAAATGACTCCTGAGACACAAGTTATTTTTTTAATTCAGCAGTGCTTTCAGTATTTATATGAAGACTTCAAAAAAAGGAGGTACTCAATTCGACTGTATTCTTTTTCTTGTTTGTTACCTCGAAACTTTTTACATGGTGGACCGATTGTGATGATTCTTTCTTTATTTGAAAACTAGTGCTTAATTTAGTCCAGATCTGGCAATGGATTCTATAAGAAACCATATAAGTCTGCGTGGTGTTTATTAACCCAAAACTCAAAATATCACTAAATTGCATGAATTAAAAACTTTAAAGCAAAAGTGGAAAAGCGGTTACATATTTTAAGAAACATTGAAGTCAGGCGGTTAATATTTTATTAACTACAGTGAACTTTTTTTTTACTTTTTTTTACGTTCGTTTTGAGACATGCTTAACTTTAAATTATCAATTCAAAAACCGGGCTTAGTACGAAGGTCTGATTGCGGACTCAGGAGCAGGGACACGTGATGTACTCCGTTCACGTATTCCAAGTGTCAATCTCTATTATGTTTGAACAGGTGCATCTCAACAACATCATTGCCTTTAATACATCTATGAACATATTTTATGCTCAAAATTGTTTTGTTGCCAATTTGAATTTCATTCATTCTGGTGTTGAGTGTATGAGATCTATTATAAACCAATGATTTTTGATTCACATAAAAGAGAGAAGTAACATACCGCACTCGTTTTAACTCATTGGTTCGGCCTTTACTTGAATACGCATCTACAGTATGGAATCCTGATTACAAAGTAAATAAAGGTACTGTAGAAAGGATCCAAAGTAATTTTTTGGAAGTCTACAACGCTAAATTTGGGAAAAATGATAATGTCACTTTTGAGTCCCTTGAATTGCGTAGATCATATCGAGATCAGATTTATCTTTTCCACTGCAGAGGCTCAGGCCTTCCTTGGATGGATGGATGGTTAAGGAGGATGGGCCACGCTGGCCCAATGCGTATTGGAGGGTATTAACGACTGCAAATGCAGCCGGGACCAACGGCTTAACGTGCCTTCCGTAGCACGAAGTAGCTCAAGAAAAATATTTTTTTTTGGTCACCCATCCCGTGACCGACCCTCGCGAAAGTTGCTTTACAACAACGACCGCGGGCCGCGGCGCTAATTCACTACGCCACCGAGCTACTCCGTGCTACTAGGATTTTTCTTTACAAACTTTTAAATAATAATATCCATTCCCCTTATCTGCTACAAAATATACATTTTAGATATCCAATACAGAGTTCGAGAAAAAAGTGAAAGAATATTTTGGTTCGTGTTTGTCGTTGCTACAATGATATATATTTGGATTTCGACTTATTCAACATGTCTATTAATATGTATAAAAAGTCTAATAAGCAAATTAAATAACAAATTGTATTTGACTTATCACTATTGTGGGCTCTTGTTGCCTTTTTTTCTCTTTTTAAATTCTTAAACATTAATTCTTTAAGTTATTGTAGAAACTTTATTGGCCATTGTTGTATTTTTTTGTAACAAACTATTGGTAAGATTATGTGCTGTATGTTTCTCATAGCGTAATAAAATAAATAAAAAAAAATATCTCAAAATAAAACAATGAATAATGTTTAGAAACTGACATCATAGAGTTTCGATATTCACAAATCCTTGTAACATCCTAGACTTGATAAATGATTTTGAATGACTAAGCATAGAACCGACACTGCGGTCACATGTACATCGATCTATCGATTGGTGTCTAGCGTAGGAATTAAGAATAGAGTATTATTCGATTATAAATAAATCTATGGATAGTTTGTGTTTCAGCCAAAAGTTTACATAGACATCTCTTATCTTGTAAACGCCAAACATTGGTTTACATTAATAATATTAACTTCTTTCCTCTGCACATTTTCCTTGTAACGTACGTATGAATTCATCTACCTACTATTGTTTACGTACAATTGTACGGAGCAAAGTCTGATGTAGCTGGCAATTCGCCAATATCTGTGTTTCGTTCACTTCATGCAGATATATCGCACGCTGAGAACGTAAGTGACTCAATCCAAAATTCGTTATTTTTGGCAAACGAAGAAATAAAGTCAGCAAGTTACAATAATTTTTTTTGTGACTCTTAAAGACATGCTAATTTTAATGGTAATTTCAAACTTAATGATTCTAATTAATCTTTGTACTATTTAGTTTCGAATTTAATATTGTTTTTTGTAATAATGAAAATAATTAGTGCGTTTATGGTGTAATAAAAAAAAACTTCCGAAAATAGGTCACTTTAGTACTGAAAACAAAAAATAAAAAGGTGCTTATTAGGGTTTATGTCTGTTTTAATCTGGTAATTATAAATATTCAATAACCTAACAATAATTAGATCACTTTCATTCTTAATCTGTATTATAATCTTATGGACTAATAAAAAACTGTATTCATGTTTATCAAAAATACTTTAATAAATGCACAATTATAACAGTGTCAATTATAAACTTTCAAAAATAAAGTATCTTAAACATAAGTAATAACAACCATGTTGTTACGAGTATAACAAAATTAGAGTTATTTCTATGTAGAGTAATTATGAAAGATATTAAACTTAAGAACATCAAATAAAAATATTAAAGTTTAACAAAAATTATAATCAAAATTTTGCTTTGGAATCATTTATTAATTATAGCACTATCAATCTACAGTCTTAGGTAGGTAAGTACATAATACTATCAGCCTTACCCGTGTAATCAGTCTTAATAGGTAGGTAACATTGTTCTTATGAAGTTATAGAAAAATATTATTATTTTTATCAAATATATAAATTGTCTCTAGACTAAACTCTGTTACTTAAATTACAAAAAGAAACCTACGGAACTCGGAATACCGTAAGTTACCACTAGTCAGTTCACCACACAATTTACAATGAATCGTAAAAAGTTGCATAGTAGTGCGGAATCTGATTTTTTTTAACGAGATTCTTGAGATCTCTTTTTTTATTTTCTTTTAATGCGATAGGTTGCTCGTATAATTTTTCAAGACTGATTAATTCATCGCTTACCATTTTCTTCCGTTTGTTTCGCATATTGAGTGTTTGGAAGGCAGTTTGGGAATATGATGTTTTGTAGTTGAATGAATAAGGTCGTTCTTTACAAAATTGCAGGACTTTAACATCATTCCATATGAGTTTTTTCCTTTCTGTATCCTCACTAAAGTTATACGCCCACTGTTCTTGCAATAGTTTCAAGTTATAGAAACAATTGTAGTCCATTTCCTTAACGGTGAAGGGTGTTCCGGATTTCCGCGCGCTTTTGATAATTGTGACATATTGATAAGGGGTGTAAATAGGACCACCTTTTTCATTCTTTTTAATTTCTTTTTCTATCAAACTGTGCACGTTGTCGGCTTCATTATGCGTATGCCCCTTGATTAGATATTTGTGGGTTATGGATTGTATATTTTTAAAGTGCATCACTGCAAATGAATAAAGGCTGGCAATAACTTTATTCTTATTTTGCCCCGTACAATTGTCTGAATAAAAAATAATGTTCAGGCTCTTATCTGGGTGTTTAGAGCTCAATGTATTTAAGTATTCAAATAGACATGAACCAATTTCATTTGCTCCTCTGTTGCCTTGAGTTTCATCCCAGAAATAACAAAACACATTTTCATAGGCTTTAATATTTTCTTTTTGTGTCGGATTTAACTCAGTGATGGTAAAATCTAAACAATTTATCTTCGAACAGTAATAAAAATACGAAGGACTAGGACATAGCATCACTGATTGTAAATCAAATACTGCACAGATGTTACTGTCGTCAATATTTGCTCTATCTCTTTTTTTCTCTTGACGGCATAAATTCTTCTCTTCAAGATGATTCTCATAAGCAGATTTTAAATCAAGTTTTGTTGTCTCGTGTGCAAGTTCATACGCCAAACAAACGTCACATCTATCTTTCTTAGGTTGAAAAAACCCTATATTAAACTCTTTGTTAAAAGTATTTAAGTATAACCAATAATCACATTCTGGTCTATTGTTTTCTTTTTGTTTTTCATTAAAATCTTTGCATAAGTCCTGTATTGTTTTGCTATCTGAAATGTATTCTTTAGCATCCGTTGTAGCTCTTAGGTAATGAGATTCTATTTTAGGTATGTTGTTAATGTGGTCCCTTATGTTCTGTAGTAATGTCGGATTTACACGTTTTCTATTATTATGTTTTCCTCTTTGGTCTCGTTCTAAAAAGCCTTCATTGTTTGTTTTGCTCTTTACAGTTCTCAATTGTCTGTCACTGATATCTAATGTATTTAAGAAAAAATTCTTACAAACTCGTATTTTCTTCGAATCTAAAGTAAAGTACAAGGCGTTATTAGGCAACCTTGGCTTTTCTGCGTTAGTATATTTGTATCTAGGGTTTATTTGAATCATACAAGTGCGAATATACGCACGCTGTATTTCCAAATCATTCAGTTTCCAAAAACTATTAAATAAATTCAATCGTTCACTATCCATTATTTTTTCACTACATTTCTGTTTGCAATTACACCCCTCTTTCATACTACGCTCCGAAATATTTTTTTTTGTTTTTGAAAGGGATTGATAGGCTTTTCCCGCATTTCTCAATCGTTTAACTTCATTCTGTATCCACTTAGAGGGATTTCTCAAGCGTTTTCTAGTTTTTTTCTTTTTGCCATTACTTTCAGTGGCAGCAGAATGGGAAACAGATTCAGATGATGAAGCATCCTCACCTTTATTGCTATCTAACCTAAACGTAGGATCAGAGTCGCTGAGGTCTACATCACTTTCATCAGTGTGAATAGGTGATATTTGATAGTTCGGCCCTAATAGGCCCGGTGAGCAACGGGAAGCATGTTTCTTGCTGGTACAAGGCGTTGGGCTCGACGGATAACGGGGAGCATGTTCCTTGCTGTTACTCGGCTTTGGGCTCGACGAACAACGGGGAGCATGTTCCTTGCTGTTACTCGGCTTTGGGCTCGACGAACAACGGGGAGCATGTTCCTTGCTGGTACTCGGGTTTGGACTTAATGGAGGAGCGGCATGTTGCTTCTTATCAGAACGATCTATAGAAGTCGACGAGTTAGATGAACTTAACTTTGTGGTTGAAGGTGACGAGCTTGAAGACGAAGAGCTTGAAGAGGAAGAGCTTGAAGACGTCGATGAATTCCGGGTCCTAAAATTCTTGGCAAGTGTTTCATCTTCGAAGGTATCATTTTCAGTATTTTTTTCTACATCTATAGCATTGCAGGTCAGCTGAAAATAAAACAAGATTGTTAATGAAGAATTTACCGGAATGTAATTGAATTTATTTATGTACAGACAACAGCACGTTGGGTGATCACAAACTGTGAATTTTTTTGATTGATCTCACCTTGTTGTCTATCTCATAAAGCTCAATATCTATTAAGGAATTTTGACAGTTTGTAGTAACCCAACGTGCTGTTGTCTGTACACTTCTTATTATTATTTTAAGTTCAAGTACCTATAAAAATTTATAGATTTTTATAGTTAATTGAACTGTAATCTTCATCTTAGCGTGTAATTCCTTGATTCATTAATTGATTTTAAATCAGTTAAATTTGCATTTACCTCTCGTTTATCACTATTAGGTCTATTTCGTTTTAGTGATTCAATTGTATTTCCATCATTATCTGCAACATTCATCTTAGAAGAAATATTCTCTTTGTTATAGCTAATAATTTCCTGAAATCACGAAATGAATTAGAATTTCGACTACATACACAGTAGGGATTATACAGAGTAAAAACTATAAAATGATACTTATTTGATACGGTAAGTTATGGAAAACATGCACAAAATTTAGGCAGCCACTACAGTTGGCTCGTAAGATACACCATTACGTAGTAAATTGACCGTGTATAAGATGAATCATACAAAATGTGTTACCTCTTCCTCTTTTTTGTGCTCTAACATCTTTAAAATCAGATCCGCTCTTCGTTTCATTTTGGACTTGTAAATATTTTTCTGTCACTAAAAGTAAGAAAAAACTTATTAATGAAATGGTCAATCAATTGTGTACTTAAATTATTAATGAAAAGACCCACACATAAATACGTCAAAACAAAATACAATTCATCAATCAAATACAGGCCTAACACATAATTCGACTAAAAACTCCAGCTATGGGTTAATCAAGGACTGCCTTATTAGCTTTTAAGACACGTAAAATAAAAAGATTCTAATCGTAAACCGACTCAATTCAAAAAAAGGTCACTTTAATAGTAACAGCTACTATAAAGGTCTTACCTCAGTTTGAGTCCTAAAGTGACCCAATGCGCATTGGGTCACTAAAATATTAACACGACGCACGTCCACCCGTTAGCACTCCCGGCGAATCACTGATTGCGTCACTTTTATACTGACAGGGGTTGCGCGGGGCGCAGAAATGAAAGAGACGCAAATAAAAAATGAAGCTTAAGCAGCGGGAATAAGGTAGTTTTTGAATTTGTAGGTTGTAGAGCATGTCTCTTAAGGTCTGTTTATGTATAAAACTCAATTTCCCAAAATTTTGGATTGGGTCACTTTCGTTCTCAGCGTGCGATATATGGTTACAGGGTGTATATTTATTCATTAAATAGTTTGGTTATAGTCGAATATTCTGTGATGGTTGTTTCTCTTGACTTTTTATTACATTCATAGTTAGAAGCTTGATGAAGTGAAACGTGAGGAAGTGATAAGAAAAAAGTTTACCTGAAAGATATTGACGGTTAACGTTAAAAAAGCCATGGTCCATTAGTTTGGTCAAGTGGAAAGGATGTGCAATGCAACAATTACGAAATTTACTAGAAAAAAGTCATTTTTCATGATCAAAGTGATCGTTTAATATCGGAGGATAATATCAAAAACCGTACATATCATATGGCGAGCATCTATGAAAAGGGTAAGAACATTGGAGAGGTGAAGAATGTATAGAATCGTGTCTTATGACGCTCAGTTTTGTTTGCCTAGTCCGTAAGGAATCCAACCTGGTTGTATATTGTAGAAATGTATAATTATTGTCAAAGAAATGCATAGTTTATTGGATTCTTTTACAGTTAAGACCACAGTAATTCTCAGCAGTTGAATTCAGATGGATAGGAAAACAAAAAAAAGGGAAATTTTGTTTTAAAATATATCATTGCACTCACGAATCTTAAAATACTTAGCTTTGAGGTCACTTAAATCTCACCACCAATCCAGCATCCACTTGTTTTCATCATCAACATCAGCCTATAGTGCGTTCGTACCCGACTACGCAGAATCAGTGTAAGTTGGACGTTGTGTATGACTGCAGACGCAGATGAGACCAACGGCTTATCGTGCCTTTCGAATCAAGGAGGGGGAGGATATCTTATACCAAAACAAAGTCACTTTCCGCTGTCTGTATGAGATCTTTTAAACTACCCGGTTTTTAATACGGTTTTCAACAATATATAGCGTGATGCAAGAGAAAGGTTTAAATGTAAGCGCTGACGGAAAGCAATTTTTAAAATAAACAAAGTTGTAATGTTTTATCACAAAGAAGATTATAACATCCCTCATCTAAGTAAGAGTAACGTTCAGACAATGAGAATTTTATAAACAAAGAACATAGTGAGTGCCAATATTTGTAATTAGTTTACCTGATCAGTATTGTCTGCGTGGTACATAAAGATACAAAGCTGTCTCTAAAATTCATTCACCACATCTTAACACATATTATAATAATGTTATAGTTTACCACTAATTAATTTAGAACAGTTATTTACTCATTATATCGTGCCATCGTTTATCCTCGAAGTCAACGCCGACGAGTGCAGCGCCGTCATAGCATATAGCTTTGATCAAACAATACCAACTTTAAAGGGTTTTGTGACGGGTTCAGAGCTTAGGTGTTGGTTGGTAAATGAAACGGCTGACTAGGCTTGATAAGTTGGTATATTTATAGTCTAAATAAATAAAAAACTAACAACAAAAAAGAATATTCCAAAAATTATGTTGATTTGTAAGTGTTTAAATGAAACAATTAGATACTCCTTTCTTGGTTTTCTAATAGATAAAACCAAGGTAAAACTTAATAATATTTCGTAAATATGCGTTTAAAATTTTCTTTACTGATTTATATTGGATTTTTAAGATTAAATTGTAACATGTTATCGCTCGGTGAATGTTTACGAACAGCATATCGCGTTACTCAAACTTTCAAATAACGAAAGACTCGAAAAAATAATGATAAAACGAAATTATATTAAATATCAAAGACAAAAGTTAGGATGCGGAAACCTAGGACTAAATAAACGGTGTGATACGACAGGATACGACGCACCGACACAGTTTTATTTCATTGAATCTCTATACTCAGCCAAATACATACTATAAGTTACATCATAGCTTAACATTCTGTTTTGTTATGTAGGTCAATGAGCCATATTACTTGTATCTTATACTGTAACCAGTTCATTTCTATAAAGTTCAAATATAATTAAAAAAAAAACAACTTTCCTCGAGTCTCGTGATCGAATTAATGAGTTGTTTTATATGATAATGGATGAATATAATCTTAAATGCATAAATTATCAATCTTGCATAATCTTATCAGTAAAAGATTCTCGTTCAGATTTTTAGCTATCTCTTATCAAATTGAGTGACGCTGCTTAGTGTCCATAGGTGAATCAACACCGTTCGCTGGTTCTCAATTGCAGATAGTTGGATCGCAGATCCATCCATCTTGAATCTACGATCCAATGGTCAATTATTGAGGACGCAGAGCACGGAAAGTAGATAGAATTAATATTCGAAAACCTTTACGATGATTGTAGAATTTTAGCTATACTATAAAAATATAATTACTTTTATGGAGAAAATTAAAAACTTATAGATCTTTCTTTATTGAATACAATTTTAGACTGGACGTTTCCAAAGTCTTTGCTGGAAACTACTTTCACACTAAAAACAAACTGCTTTAATCTAAAAACAAATAACCTAAAACACAATACTCTCCTTTTTTGGGCTGTCGTGTAAAACTCAACAGTAGTTTATAGAAAAAAAAAACGATAAGCTTTTAAATTATCCGTGGGCCTTATTTAAGCTTCTGTGGACTACCAATCGACTACCAATACGATCTAGAATATATTCCTTTTGCCAAGAATCAATTATTTTAGCTAAAGTGCCCTCTTAATGAGGCTTTTACTAAACGTTATAAAGTTCAATGTAATAATGTTTTACTTATATATGAGAATGTTTTATAAGGTTGACTGGGAGAGAATGTCTGCAAATGTATTTTTTTTTTGTGCATGAAGAATTCGATAAAATAAAATTTGTAAGCAGCATATGTGCACTAGGAAATGGTTGAACAATAAGTTTATTTGCTTCTTTTTATTTATTTAAGTTTTATTTAAATTAACAAATTCGTTTCACTTTATTTACAATTTATTATTACTTTTTTTTTATTCCAAACCACCATATAATCTGCGCACTCGTCTGTTCTTTATGTACTTTTGATTGTGGTCTTGAGAAATGGTACATCGTCGTAAGGTTGTAATAATTATTGAACATTGAAACAAATTGTTTTAAATCAATACTTATTGCCGGACGTTATACAACATTGTTTGCCTATACTAATATTATAAAAGGACAGATTTAATCGTTCGTTTGTTTGAATTGATTAGGTTCCAAAACAAATGGACGGATTTCAAATAATACAATCGCATGCAGGTGACATAGACTAAAATTTACACGGGTAAAGTCTCGGGAAAGCAGCGAGTTTGAAATATAAAAATCAAAACATTATTTTTATACTCTCTGTAACTTTCACACCATTGCATACGACGGAACCAAAGACTGCGAGGCGATTCTGTTAAAATTCGAACCCGAATTCGAATACATTCATGGGTCCGAATCTACGCCATTTAGTGAAGTAATTCTATTGATTAAATTTTTTGGATAAAATTACAAAACAAAATTGATTGTTTAGACGTGTCTCAGATACTCTCTTCTTATATTATTTCGAAACTCACTTCACTTTGCGAACACATTGCGAAGTGAATTCGAATTAGGGTTTGGATTTTTACAGAAACTCAGGGCTGTATTAGTATCACTTTTCTTTGTTTATTTTGGAATCTTATCCTTGTCCTTTTTAAATGTTATATATTCGACGGCGATATATGTTTTTGTTTATAATTCCGATAATAGGGATGACGACTAATTTTGTTTGTTTGTCCGTCAGGTAGAGTGTTAATAAATATTATACATGTATTTTTTTTTCGTAATTTAGTTTTCTACTCAACTGTGACGTAGCGAGCCCGCACTCCTCAACTTTAATGCCTGTTATCTAAGCTATTTCTTGTTAAATTGAAGTAAAAAAAAACATACGTATTTAGTATTTTACTATTATCTGACTGACGGACTAAATAGAATTGCATTTTTTTTACCCAGTCATCATCCCTATTCTGCCAATTGTTCACCGATTTCGTCACCGATTTCGACACGAAATCGTATTAGTTTTGTTCCTTTTATAACAAAACATAATTTTCACCATATATCACATAAATATTTAGATAATATGTAATGTATTACAGCTAAAAACAAAAGATTACGTTTTATTGGATTCATTCAAAATCCGAAAGGAACATTTTTTATGTTCAAGGAGTATGTATATGTTTTATGAAAGTGGGTATGTTAATCGATTCTTTTTGAATTGTTAATCTGTTTCTATATTAGTAAACAAGCTTTTTACTCGCGACTTCGCCTGTGTAAATCGGTCCAATTTCGGAGCCTATCCAATGCAAACAAATAAACAAGTAAATCGTTCCGCTTTACTTATAATATGAGTATAGAATTATTTGAAAAAATATGTCAAACAAATAAATATAAAAGATTTGATTGTTTGGATCTATTTTTAATTTTTTTACCTACGGCAAGCTACATCATATGCGGTGAACATAGGCTACATTTATCCCGAAAAAAAATCAAATAAATGAATGAAAATGGGAGTTAAAGTTTATATAGGAATGAGAACGTTACCATAGTAACGATTTTTTGCTATCCAACGGTGTATGAAGCGATATTCAAATAAACAGTTCCCTATTATATAATAAATATAAATATCACTAAAAAGCACGAAGCCTTTATTTAATTAATAAACCTACAGAAAATATTCGCCTTTGAGATAAGTATTATTTATTTTTTAAGTTTGAAGTCTGTTCTATTTTTTTTTTGTTTTTATTTCGTGCTTTTTAGAGATATTGTTTTTTTTTTATTAAAATAAATAAATTTACAAGTCATCAGGTCGGGACTGTACAAGTATACCTTTATTTATACCGATGTAAAGTTGGTCACAGATCTGATCAGATATATTTATTTAGCTTCAGAGTGTAAGCTAGTCAAACGAACATCAATTGATTTTTATATATGTAAATTGGTCGCAGATAATTTCAGAAGTCGCGAAAACCGTCGATCTTACAAGAATAGTAAATGTTTGCGTACATGTTCGCCGATGTAAAGACCGTGAATTTCCCATCAATATGTATCTTCCATAAAACATTTTACACGTATCAGTTACTAAATATTATATTTGTTAAATAATGTTAAGAGCTCCAATGGTTGCTTGCCTATTCGACTTCGCCGGAATGCTCACATAGTTTCTTTGTTATGTAATTATTTATTTATTTATTTTGGGAAGACCAATAGCTATAAATGTCCTATATAATCCTGCTTCTCCTGCTTATCTTAAAAAGCATTTCAAATTTCTTTCTGACACCCACTCCCGTTAAATATCGTCAAGAGCTCAAATGGTTGCCCATTCGACTTCGTCGTAATGCTCACATAGTTTCTTTGTTATATAATGTCCTGTATAGTCCTGCTTCTCCTACTTATCTTAAAAAGCATTTCAAATTTCTTTCTGACTCCCGTCTCTTGAGATCATCGGACAACCTGAGACTCGCGATGCCAATGCGTTCCTCTAGAGTATTTGACAGGTCCTTTACTGTACACGCCGCTCATCTGTGGAATGAGTTGTCGGATTCTGCGAGGCGTGCTCAATCTTTAAATGATTTTAAAAATTTAGATACAGAATATTATCTCTCACGTGCTGTACATCCAAATAATATGTATGTGGGCCTGTGTGTGCATGTGTATGAATTAATTGCATTGTATATTTATATGTATAAAGTATACTTTTTCTCAAATGCACTGCCCTAAATTGTTCTCCGTATCTAATTTCCTTTTTACGGTTGCCTGGAAGAGATCGCTTTTAAGCGATAAGGCCTCCATTTGCTTCTCTATCCTTATATATGTTCTCTGTTATTGTGCAATAAAGTTTATTATTATTATGTTTGTTTCATAAGGAAGTAACATATGGGGAAAGCATCTTAATATAGGAATTTATTAATTACTTGCCCTACATAACTAATAATTCTCAAACAGATCATCCAGTATATTAAGAACTACATGCCTAACAATTCCGGAAAGATTAATTTTTAATTATTGTTCCAGACAAGGTGAACAACAGCAGTCTGGGTTAGTGCGCAGTGTCAGCAATGCTTCCGCTCTCACATCGCTCTGCGCCGATCTGTCGCCATCCGATTCGCATTTCTTCGAAGTAAGTATTTATTGTCGTAAAGAATCTTTAGAGGAACGTAACTAATGTAGCATAGTATCCCTAATGAATACTGAAATTCCTTCAAAAATTATCAAAAAATAATTATAAACGTAGAAATTAGTTGAGCGAAGCCAAAAGCACGTTGCGTATTTGCTGTACCTTTGAAAATTCACAAAATTTCCCCTATTGGGGACATTTGAAGAACAACAAATATCAGAACCTATTCTGTATTAGGGATACTGCTCCATATTTTGTAATTTTCCTTTAAAACCAACACATCGACCGTGACTTTATTTGCCAATAACCAGAGCCACTGTTCTTTCATCTGTGTCATCTGAACTGGAGCATTATCTATAACATCAGCCTAATACTGTTTTATTTTTTTTATTTATTGGTAGAAAACAATTAAATTTATTCGATTTTTTTTTGAATAACAGGTATTATACATAGGCAAAGTAAGAATATCACAACGGAAAGTTCCAGAATCACTTATTGATGACGCTCTTATTAAATTTGCTCAACATGAAGCGGAGAAAATTAAAAACTTAAGGCGACATAGTCTTTTGTCTTCTACTGGAGTAAGTGATGATAGTTTTTGTTATAGTGTTATTATCGACTTAAAATAATTCCATAATTATTTTGTTAGAGATTATACAATGTGATATAGTTATAAAACACTGAAATTATAGGTCACTGATACAGGACTTGTATGTGCATGAATATTAAAGATTAACCAGTCTAGAAACTATAGGTATGATCACGTAGTAAATAAGTTATGTAGATAATACTGTTTTGTTGCACCGAAACCAACTAAATTAAACTGCAAAAACTAATCAAGTTAAAAATATTTTTTCAGACTTCTGTTTATAGCAATGACTCCACAGAAAACGTCAATGATAGCCAAAATGAAGTAGATAGAAAATCAAACCCAACACCAAATAAGACCCCTTTAGAGCCAGACAAACTAATCGGAGCTAACGATGCAGTAACAAAAAGTAAGACTGAAACGAATGAGATTGAGAAAGAGTTCGACATGTTTAGCAAAGAGAGAATAGAAAAGATTAATATCAAAAAAGTTTCACATGAAGCTTTAGCATTTACTGTTCCTAAAAACAATCTCGGTACTGTAGAAGAAGATGAAGAAAAACACGATGTTGATTCAGTTATAACTGAATCTGCATCTTCCATAACACAATTCTCCCAAAACGCTATCAAGAAAGATAAGAATGAATCTAATGATGTTCTAAATGAAGAAAGTAAAAATTTAGACAAAGAAATTCTAGATAAATCTAATAATAATAATGCTAAAGAAGGTAGTCTTATTAATTTTGATGAGATAGCAAGAAAACCAAAGATTTCAGATGTTACGAGCGAAGGCGGTGATTTTAGAAAACATACAATGCCTGAAAACAAACCGTTTCTAAGAGATAGATCGGCTTCTATAGGCACATTAAATTTGAAAACACCAATTACACAGTTGATTGGTGAACAAAATAGAACGATGCTATTTCAAGTAAGTTTTTCAGAGGTTTTCCTTTCAAGTAAATTATTTTTAATTAATTACAATATGAAGAAATAAACAGGTGGTCTTCAAACTGCAGTAGAATGGATGTGTAAGAACGTAAAATGGCAAGACCAGGGTTCTCCTTAAAACTTAAGAATCCACACATTCTTCCAATGATCAAGAATATAATCTTCTTAAGTACAGAGGGCCATATTGCTCAAATGTTGTTTGCAGACATAGACTGTAAATAAGAATAAGGTACTTACTTTTCGTTTATTACAGGTTGGTCGTTCTGAATTAAGACTGATAAGTCCTGACAGGAAGCAGATATTGTTGCATAGAGAATTCAAAGATGTTGCCAGCTGTGTTCTGGGTAGGATCAATAAAGAACATTTCGGTTTTGTATGCAGGGAGACCAACGATTCCTACGCTTGCTACGTGTTTAAATGTGAAAGTGATTCTATTGCTCAAGAAGTCATCAATGGTAAGTATAATTGATCACATACTTTTATTTTATTTGTCGTGTTTATCAATGTGTATCAAATGTTGGAAGCTAAAGATATCTTAATTTCTATATACTAATATTAAAAGAGGTCAAATCTGGTTATTTATTTGTAGATCGGCTTTAAAAATACGGAAAGCTAGATCATACACGGGTGTTATAGGCTACAATTTACATAAGCTAAGTCGCAGGAAAAAGCTTGTCTCAAAATTTCATTCGTTATAAATTTTGGAATTAAAAAAAGGTATTCTTATTACTCGTACTTATATTGTTATAACCTATTTTCAGCTATAAGGCAGGCTTTCATAGCACATGCAGAGCTTCTCAAGAAATCTCGGGAAAAGTCTCCAAATATGACTTGTGAACATTGCCCCATGCTGTGGTATCATAGACTCTGTCATGATATTGAAGGTTTGTATCATTTAAATCTTCACCATCAGCCTATAATGTACTCACTGTTTCAGCACAAGCATTCATTATAGTAATGTTAGTGGGTGATAACGACTTAAGATACAGTCATAACTTAATACGCCTTCCGAAGTTACGGAGGGGCTCAATATAATACATTTTTGGCTAGGTCCCTCCCTACAACCGGCCCCTACGCAAGTTGCCTTATCTCTGCATAACACTCTTGTGTCATTGAGCTTTTCGTACATTTGCCATCTTTATAAAAATATAGAAGCAAATTGTATTTTGTGCAATATAGCATTTTTTTACAATAACAAATCAAAATATTCGCTATTTAAACATCGATTTTATTTTTAGTGAATTACGTAACCAGTAAATTTTATGTCCTATAAAGTAACGGCTTTGAATCAAATAGAACTATATTATTTTTCAATCATTGTGGTTGGTAATTTTTACATTAATACCATTAATGTAATTTAGGTCTGGATCTTAGGTATTACCAATAATGTATCGTCAGCAAATAAATTTCATTTTCAGTGTGCATAGGATACAAACTAAATCACTAAATCAAACAAATATCTTATCTTATTATAATATTCACATGGTTTGGAAGCAAGTCATCGCTAATAAAGGCCCAGGCATATCTTTAATGGAAATAATAACGAACCTAAGATAGTTCCTCGTGGGACTGTGCGCCCATGTTATTTTTCATAATAGAGGACTTTGATGGAATTTCCTTCTTTTTTTCGTTAACGTGCTTAATTTCAGCATACTGTAAGTGATTTCTTAGACAATTTTGTAGCCAATTTAATGGCTTTTATCGTATGCCATATCTCTCGCATTTTGTTACTTTCAGTATTTTTATATAATATTACTTTTTAGGCATGAACGAGAAGAAAATTCACGCCTTCATTTTACGTAGAGTGGAACAGCTACCCGAAGATGAACAAGACCTTATCATAACTAAATATCAAGGCGGGACCAATCACATGTATGAGGTATGCAAATTAAATCTTATAATAGTGGTGTTTTAGACACACTTTGATTTAAAGATATCTCTAACAAAAGTAGGTACCTCACCTTTATTTTAATTTTAATATATTAAATATTACTAATGTATAAATCAGACCACAATTATCGATGCAGGATTCACAATAATCGAACTTTTGTAATCTCTTAACCCTAGTAATAGATTTGTCTTTAACTTGGAATATAACAAGAATTTCTTGCGCTTAATAAACATAGACGTTATATTAGTTACACTAACAATAACACGCATATCTTAAGCGTCTATTTATCACCTTATGCTTGAGTTTTATTTTTACTGGCAATACAACTCGACGTTTTCTAATTTCAATATTTTGGATTATTTATCCATAATTGTGTATTTGTACAGGTCAATGAACATAACTCTTTTCTAATGATGCTTCTGAGAGCTCATTGTGAAGCGAGGCAGTTGAGGCACGTTCATGATACTGCAGAAAACAGGTAACGGTTACATTGCTTTTGTACTATATACTAAAGTATAGAAATTATGTCAAATCATTATTTGGACAATTAGTATTTTTAATGAGTAATTTTTTTATTGTGAAAGATTAATATATTTTTGTTGTTCTGCATCGAAATGGGGATCTATTTATATGAAAGCTAGTTCATAAGTTGTTTAAGGAAATAAAATGTAATGTTTGAGCCGAACTCTCTCGAACATTAATAATCCAAGCTTTTGGATGGTATTTTTTTAAGAAAGAAGCGTATAGATTATCGACATTTTATTCCAGATCAGAGTTCCTGAATCAATATCTTGGTGGCAGCACAATATTTATGAAAGCCAAGAGATCATTATCTAGCGGTTTCGATCACTTACTGAAAAGGAAAGCAAGTAGAGACGATGGTGTCGTGAAGAAGGTATGCTTTTTATTATTTAATATCTGAGAAATTATGTTTAAAAAATCCAATATAGAGGGCAATAACGTTTCCATTGTAACTCCATTTAACTTTTAACGGTTTCTTTTAAATTTCAGGTCTTATAAATTTACGACGTTTCAGATTATTTCATGTGTTTCATTCAAAGTTTGTTGCATAAAATCATAATTTGATTAATTATGTAAAGGCCTTGTTTGTTCAAAGGAATCATCTCCTCTAACTCTAACATCACCGATGGACACAGCATCGGAACCATCAAACACAGTTCTACTGACACCAACTGAAACAGTTAGATGCAAATCATTATCACCAGCCACTCCAACAAATGAGCCAGGTATCAAATAGGCGATATCACGTTATTTTTCTAAAGATTATTTCATGCAAATGATCACATTTCTTCCTGTTGTAAAATTTCTCCACTTGATTTTAAATTTTAATGTTTCGAAATTAACGTTTAAAATAAACTGATGAAATTAGACATATGTATACCATAACTAACGTGTCGTGTGTACTTTAATTATGCATAGATTATCGATTACACTTATCAACAATTCTAGCTACCTGTCTGATTATATTTATTTTAAAGTATCGGAATATTTGTCTAAACTAACTTTCAGTTCCATATCCTATAAAGGATGAGAGAAATTATTGGAGCAATGAAATGAGTTTTTGTATTGATGCTAATTATTTGAATAATTAACTTTCCACTGTCATTTTAATGATGTTTTTTGCTGACTGCTATTCGAACTATACAAGTTAACTTTGCACTTTTTGCCTATCTTCTTGTCCATTTTTCTGCAAACATCTATATTTAGCAATGATATTAGTAACATTATATTTAGAAACATTATCCTCACCGAAAACTCCGCCAGCTCCTGTTGAAGAAGAACCAGAAGAATCTAAAGAAGAATGCAATACACCTGTAGTCTCACCAATGATGGATATGTAAGTTTTAGACTCAATGTAAACTTAATGATTTGAGGAATAAAAATAAATTTTATAAGTCTTAAAACATTATTTTATCGTTAAACTGAATTTCATCTCTGTTATTCCTATTACCACGTGGTCACAAGCATGATGCCCTTCATGTTAAGAAACATTTTTAAATAACATATTTTTCGACATCATATGAAAGCAATAATGTTCAAATCTATAGTCATCCTTAGTTAAAATTGTGATTTCTGATAAATATTCTTCTTTTTAAATTTTCCGTTAAAATTTTGGAGAATTATAACATGTTATTCCTTCCATGCAAAACCTATATGCTAAATTCTAACTCCGGTAAACTTTACCAATACTTATTTATATTTTTTCTATTGCACCTGCTAGTTCACATGAAAACTAAGAACATTTTCCAATGTCCCTTTACGATAACAAGCTTTAAGGAAATCCTTAATCCAAGAATTAGGTCATTCTTGGCTTTCTCATTGTATTGATTTTAGAGAAAATGATTGTGTTAGCAACTTACAACTGTTTCTCTTCAGTTTTCTGAAAGTGAGCGATTCGAGACCATCACCGACAGAGGCCGGCAGTGAATCCGATGCCACATGGCGTCAAGCAATTTACGAGAAAGTCGTACAGCCAACAGAACACCAAGAGGGTGAGTAAATGATCACTCAAAATATGTGGAGAGGCAGGAATAAATCACATCCATTTGATTATTTAAATGAAACTTCCACTCCTTTTAGGATTCCGTACTTAAAAAAACAAAAGTTAAAAAACCAAATACGGGATCCCTCGTATGTCTGTCCTTCAGTCTGTCACAATTAACTCGGAAATTACTCTGCCGATTGAGCAGTTTTTTTTAATGTAAACGGTCATCAAAAGGTGACGGCATACGTAGTTAAATTAAATCAAACCCTAGATGCCTTGTTCGTGGGGTGTTGTGAGTTTTTTAAATTAACAAATATTTAAAAGTTTGCAGTTTTTATTGCGATAATTCGAGTTTATAACTTTATGGTTGATAGTCTAGAAGTTAGGATATAGGCAAAATTTACCGGTCTCCCCACACCCTACTGGTGGACTTAAAATTTTGAATATATGCAGTAAATAACTCTCTAGCTATGAATTACAGAAAAGCCTATAAGAAGTTCACAATTTTAAAAATTAAATATAGTAAATTCTTTTTAGTTACTTCCCTTATCGAGTAACTGTTCCATGAAGTCACCATCTCGGATATAGCTTAAGGTTCTTGTATTCTTTTGGGTTGCCATAATACCAAGAACTTTAACTACTCTGGATTTGAGCAATATCATTAATATTTTTTGTTCTTTTCAAGGAAGTCTAAGTTCCACAAGTCTACTTGGTCTGCCACCATCTCATGGCAAACGTACCAAAGAACAATTGAGGAGTTTATGGAAGATGGCAATCAATCAGACCATTCTGCTAGTAAGAATGGAAAAAGAGAATGCTAAACTTAAAGGTATATTATGTACAACCAAAGATTTATACTTAGATTTAGAGTAAGCTGGGTGGTTTATAATTATAATGAGATAAATAGTTTGCCCAAGCATAAAGGGGCAAGTGAAATAAGCGAAGGTCACAAGCTCATATACATGTTTTTTAGGATGCTTTAAAATTAAAATTGCAAAAACATTACGGTTACATGAAAACCATTTATTATATATTATCAAATCATTTAAAATATCAAATCATTCAAATAAAATGTCTGTATTCACTTGGAAATGTAAAAAATTAAGCTCCAAGGGGAATACATCGGCTTTTCTTCATCGGATAAACTTCTGCAGATGCAGCAGAGACCGACTACTTAATGTGCATTCCAAAGCCAGGAAAAGCTCGAGATTTACAATTTTTCGTCACCTATCTCATGACCAAACTTCGCAATAGTTGCTTAACCTCTCTAATAGCAGACCAAACGTACTAATCACTACGCTAACTGCTAAATTATTTTTTTTATAAAGAATGTATAATTTGTTGTTTGTAGAAAGCGAAGAATCTTCAGCGGTCCGACGCATAAAGCTCGAATACGCAGAGCTGGGTGTTTGTGATGCCGGCGTAGTACTCATGTGGGACTCGTTGTTAACTCGGGACAGTTCCCGGCCAGTCAACAAGGTCGATAGGCATATGCTCACTCAAGCTGTCATACAAGGTCAGTATACTACTAATATTATAAATGTGAAAGTTTCTTTGTTTGGAGTTTTGTCCGTCAATCACGCCGGAACTACTGAACGGATTTTGATGAAATTTGGTATACGGCTAGGATATAAGCTGACTTAGATAATATCCTTTTCCCTTTTTATCCCACTAAATACTTCCTGCTGGCAGAAATCTAGTACGTGAATAAATATTCCAATTATTAGATGTAAAGCCCATCTCAAAGTTTTCTATGTTTTGTAGTTATTCCGTAATAAAATTACAATGTGTTATTACATTACTTTTCTATGTGATTGAAATAACAGAGCACAAGAATTCCAATTGTGAGGATGGCTTTCAATTTTCGTTTACTTTAGTAACAAAAAAAGTGTCGTCTCGCGATCAGATAAATAAGTGTTGACTAATGGTACTAGTATTGTGGGTACCATTGTCCACTTACACAGGGGACTCGAAGGAGGGTAGATTAATATATCTGCCAGTAACATCTAATCGCAAGAGTTCAGTTACTCCATGATCATGACACTTGAAAAATATAAAAATATTAAGACCCCGTTATCGAAAGTGCAATTTGGTAGCTACACATTTTTAGAGATGGGTAAAAATAAAATAACCAATTATATCTATATAGACATCATAAATATTTTTACCCATCTTCAAAAACTACCAAATTTAACCATCGATTCCGTAGAAATCTATAATTCTAATTATAATGTCAGTTTAGCGTTATTTACCTTATATGTTTTGTAACAGGCGTGCCACGTGTATCGAGGGGGGGTGTGTGGTACTTCTTAGCAAAGCAAGCTAGTCTCGGTTCTCCGCCACCAGATGTTAGACATTTTCCATTATACCACGCGCCATACCGCTCCTTATTAGGGGGACTCACCAAGCATCAGCACGCCATACTCATCGATTTGGGTAGGTACATTTTCTCTATTTTTCTAATAGTTTGGCTGTTTTCTAATCTTTAAATATTATATAAGCTAGTCTACTCTGCTCTGTTTAGGTCAAAATCGCATCTCAATGAGGGAGTATTTTAAGAAAAAATAAAGCACTAAAAAAGCACTTCACTAGATGATGACTCCAGCAAAAATTGATTTTTGCAGGAAACGAATGCACCAGTCATTTCGTTCCTTTTAACTAACATAATATTAAAAATCTGAAGTTTACAAACTTCGAAACTTAGATATCAATATAAATAGGAAAAAGTACAAATAGAATACGAGTTGTTTTTTGGGTTTTGAAAATTAATTTACTTTTACACATAAAACCGGAAGGAGAAATCAAGAAAGTACCGTGACGACATCTAGTTTGATTTCGGGAACAATTTTTTTTTGAAACATTGAGTCTTAACTACTTTCATTTTACCATTGTACTATCTGAAGTCCAATATATTCAATTAGAGCAATGTCTTCTTCATGAATCAATGCTGGTAGATATTTTATTATTTTGTGATCTAGTAATAACAACTGCGTTATAAAGAGTTGAAGCTCTATTGATGTTCCTTAATTACGTTAATAATAGCAGAATTGCTCTAAAGCAATGATTCCCTAAGTGGTCAGGTGGACCCCTAGGGGTCCACAAGAGATTCAACGGGGGCCTACGTACTCACCCGCGATGCCAATTTCCATCGTTAGATCTTCACATTTTGAAAGAATTTTGGGAATATGGTAAAAATGTAGCAGCACCGAAACCAGTAAATTTTTTAAAATGGTCTACGAGAAAAAATTGTTTGGGAACCTCTGCTCTAAAGGCTTTTAGCATTTCACGTGACAAATCCGTTGAGAATGTTGTCAATTCTAACGTTCATTTTATAAATTAAGTAATAAGAGCTTTCACGTTTGATAAATGCATATAATTAACAATGAATATTTCCAATACTACAGGTCGCACATTCCCCAAGCACTCGTACTTCGCATCAGCACTTGGTCCTGGTCAATTAGCTCTATACAACATTCTTAAGGCATATTCTCTACTGGATCCTGATGTGGGATACTGTCAAGGACTGAGTTTCGTAGCTGGAGTCTTATTGTTACACGTAAGTTGTTCCCAAAATTATTTTTATCATTAAATATATATAAATACAGATACGAAAACAATGCATAGTGTAGCAGTAAATATTAAAAGCAAAGTTTTAGCCTTCCAAGTATCCAAGTGTGCTAATTGCAGATTAATTGCGTCATGATTTTGAATTAAAAAGTAATCTTTTGTTTGTTAGAAAAATCTGCTGTTTAGACTCTATTCTTTGTTAAAGTTAAAGTGATCTAATTCATATTGTTGATATTTATTGGGTAATGACATGGTTTTTATAAATGTTACTTTTCCTCTAACAGACTTTCGTACCTTTTTTATTAGTCAAAAGACGGATAGTAGATTGACCAATTCAAAAGCTATAATATGCTATTTTGACTTTAGCTTTGCACTAGAATCTAAGGTCATTTTTAGTCCAGGATATTGATTTTCCAATTTAGTCTTTAAATTAAAAAAAAAAAACAGTGCTCTAATAATTGTTTTCGTCTGACCAAACCAATTTTTTGTATGCGATTTTATTTGATTTCTAATGAGGAAATATAAAAAAAGAAAATAGTTCCCGAAATCAAACTAGATGTCGCTACGGTACTTTCTTGATTTCTCCATGACAACACATCCGGTTTTCTTTCATGTACAAAACTAAATTAATTTTCAAAACTCAATAAACAACTCATATTCTATTTGTACTTTTCGTATTTGTATTTATTGATATCTAAGTTTCGAACTTTGCAAATTTTAGTTTTTTAACATGTTAGTTAAAAGGAACGGAAATGACTATCTTTGATCCATTCGTTTCCTGCAAAAATCAACTTTTGCTGAAGTCGCCATCTAGTGAGGTGCTTTTTAGTGCTTTTTTAATACTTTCTCATTATTATGTATGTTTCAGATGGAAGAAGCTGAAGCATTCATATTACTTCGTCACTTGATGTTCAGGCGTGGCCTGAGGAAACAGTACTTGCCAGACATGAGTGCTCTACAAGTACAGGTAATTTTTTTTTGTTGCATTTATTTAGATTTAGCTTTATTTAGTTGTTGTTTATTTTTCTGAATACCATACTATTTAAAGACTCCAGGAGTAAAAGGTCTTGTCTAAAGTTTTATTTGATTAAGGGTTTTCATCTCTATACAAGTAGACTCATTTTATGTAAAGCAAGAAATATTTCTCCAATAATGAAAAACTATATCAAAAAATTTCGCATCTTGTTATCTAAAGTCCAACCAATTACAAAACACTAGGTGATCTCAAATTAAGAATTTCTTAGGATGCTGTGATTTTTTAAAGTTAACAAAGCACATATGGATATCTCAGAATCAGTCCATATTTGTTTTAAACGCCTAATCAAGACAGCTGATAAGAGCTAGAAGAATGGATACAAGTTTTAAACTAATGTCATTGCTTAATTAATAAATAATACTGGAGAAATTTAAAATAAAAGTGATCATATGTAAAATTATAACAAAACCTTTCAATTAGTTGGGGATCTTAAAATATCAATAAATTTGTAATAGCTTACCTGCACTTTTAAGTGTAATGTTATTTGCGCTGTTGTTGTTATTTGCGCCTAGTAAGCCAGACAGTAGAATGCGCCTCTGTACCGTAGGTATCTTTGCCTGCCTTACCCACTCGACACGCGGTCGCCGTGTGTTCAACTCCGCCCCGTCTTTAGAGTTAATTAACACACACGCACACACACACATACACACACACACACACACACACACACACACACACACACACACACACTCACAGACACACGTACTTACATACACCATATTTGTCGTGCGATATAATTTATAAATATGTATATTTTTGTCTAATTAGTAAGATTTATTTATTAATTAATAAGATTTGTAAACATAATAAGTTTCTATAATTAGCGTCAATACTGCATACTTATTTTTGTATAGAAATAACTAAACTGCTGTTGAAACTTTGTTGAATAAATAAATAAATAAAGTAATCTTGAAATTAAATCTTGATCATGTATTCCTCTAGCTGTACCAGCTGTCCCGTCTTCTTCGTGATCATGAACCAGAACTACACGCCAAGTTGGAGTACCTGGACATCTCCCCCGCACTATACGCCGCACCATGGATGCTGACACTCTTCACCAGCCAGTTCCCTCTGGGTTTCGTCGTCAGAGTCTTTGGTGATTCATTTTTGATCCTTTCGTTTCGTTCCTCCCTAAACACAAATCTAACTCTTCTAATACTGATACTCGCATAATACAAAGGATTTTATTCGAATGCAGGCAAATGTTAAGAATCTGGATCCTATTACAACTCTGCTGTCCTTCCGTCTGTCATCAAGCTGTATCTCAGTAACCTTGATAATTATAATTAAGAAATAAATTAACATTTGAAGGGGCTCCCAGACAAGTGATTTTTTGCGCAAATCCCACTTGCACTTCGCCGGGTTTGTTTACTTACATAGTTATTATAAAACAATTAATTGCTTCATGTTTCAGATCTCATATTTTTAGAATCTCTGGACGTTGTGTTTTCGGTCTCCCTCGGTCTCTTGTCAGCGCATAAAGACGGACTCATGATGTGCGAGAGCTGCGAGGAAGCCGCCGAGTACCTAAAACATAAACTCCCAGACATCGATAAAGACATTTACGAGAAAATAATGAAGAAGGCAAGTCTTAGTCTTCTGCTTAAGTAATTTTCTCCTTATTTATTAAAAAATATTTCCACGTTACGGATACAATTCAAACATCTATTTTTAAGACAGAAAACATTAAAATTTTACTCTTTTTGCTTCTTAAGGCAGTTGATAGCTTATGGCCTATAAAAATCACAACACAAGTCATAACTTATTCCACTTTTAATTAATTACTTTGTTATGCAGGTCCACTCTTTAGATATATCTCGCCAATTGAACGACTATGCCGTCGAATACGCGGTACTTCGTGAAGAAATGCCAAGATTGGCGGCTTTAACTGAAGATAATAGGCAATTGCTGATGGACAAGACTCGAATGAGTGAGGAATTGGATGTAAGTTTTGACTACTATCCTGCTTGCACTGACTTATACTTTACGCCCAGACTAATCAGTATAGATAGTTGAAGTTTCATTATAGCACAAGGGAAATTTATTATGTTATAGCACAAGTTTTTAGTAAGCATGCTTTGAGATCTCATGGGTACGAATGCCAAACAATTTTGAATCGAATTTAAAGTTTGCAAGCTATTTCCAGGCTATTAATGATGATAAATCTTGAGTATATTTCATTTCAACAACAACTTTTGTATTGCTATTGTAATTGTTCAACTATAATTATAATATTAAAAACAGTTTATGAAATATCAATATATTTACAGTCGGCGATGGACGCGATAACGAATTACCAAAAAGCACAAATCCGTTTGGAAACGCAAAACAAAACGATGGAACAGCAACTAACGTTGCTCAGTCGCTACATATCCGCCAATCACCGGCAAGAGGTGCCCGCGGAAATCAAGAGAATCATCCAATCGCACTGCAAGAGGGTACCGTTCAGTTCTAAAATTACATCTTTCAGTTCAAAATTCACGTCCAACGAAGAAGATTCAGAGGAATCTAAGAAAGTTTTCAAAACTGGTATATCTGCACCGAATCTATTCGCTAGGATATCAAAAGAGGATGTTGTGAATGCTGTCACTAGAGATAAAACGCCGGAAAATGATAGAAAACTGTTCATAATGAAGAAATCGCAGTCCGTAAATTCCGGTTTGATCGCAAACAATCTGAAGAATTATCCATTGAAAGTTTTAGAGGAAAAATCTGAGATTGGCGACAAAAGAACCGAGAACTACAGAGACGCATTGAAGGATTCTTTAAAAGAATTGGGGAAGAAAAACACTGGTTTCTTTGCCAGCACACACGAACAAATAAGACAAGAGAGATTATTCGAGCAACAATTGAAGAATCATTTCGACGAAAATCTGAAGAAGCTCGACGAGAAAATTGAACCCAAATCATATATAGACGACTTGAATATGTTTCAAAGTAGAAAGAGTATGTCTCTGAATTTGCAAACGAAGGATCGTGGTGGGAAGGACAGTGGTTTTGTGACACCCATGAGTCCTGCCGACGATAGGAGAGAAGATTCTATGTCTGTAGTTTCCCATCCATTGAGTGATGTTGATGTTGATATTAAGTTCGACGGACAATCAACAAAGTTGAAACAAATCAGGCCTTTTAAACAACAAACTTTTATCGGTAAACATACATAACATGGGACTTGTTTATTCTCTTCTGGCGATCATCTTATTATGCACTCTGTTTGCACCTTATGTCTGCAAATTGAAAGGCTCACATAAGTGGTCACTCCTTTGAAAGACTACTGTTTTTCGCAGTTGATTTTGAACTCTGCCCTCAATATATTAAGGCTTAAAGTCAATGGAGAAATTGTGACACTTTTTATAACCTGACATACTGATAACTGTTCTTGCTAGATATGGGTTGGTTGGTGTGAATATGGGATAGCTCATAGTTTTTAATGGGTTTTACGAACATTTTGCCAACTATCCCTTTTACTTGCGGTAAGATTTCTATTTAGAACGGCAACGCGCACTTGTGTATTTAAATATGTGATAACATTATCTAATACATTTGATCACATAAAGCATTCACATGTCTAGAGGCGGTTTAATGATATTATTTATCTTTTTCTGCATTCATAGATTGAAACTTTACATCTAGAGCAAATCAGATAGTATGACCAATTATGTATTACAAACTTGATTAGTATGGCTATTTCTGTGGTAAACTTGATAAGTATGACCGTTTGTGTACTTGCCATTTTTTAAAACATCAAAGATAATGTTGTTCAAGAACGTGTTCATTTATTTATAAGAAAAGGATATGAACCTATTGCCTTCTTTAATTTTTATCGTAAAAATATTTGAATAATATATAATTGTTTCCATCATACTAAGATTTATTAAAAAAAAATGTTTTTTTTTTCCGTAACATTAAATTGTAGTTATTTTTAAACCATATAGTACTTAACAGTATTAATAATTATATTGTCCGATACTTTTCTAATTCATTATTTATATAAATGGTAGAATAAAACATATATTTTTTAATATACTTTAAATAAGTAACTGTTTTAAAAAAATGTAGCTATTAAAAATTCACTATTAGATTAACGGCTATAAAATAAGAATATGTCACCATTACGAAGAGGAATGGGCCAAGTCCTTGTATAATAGGTATTTAAAAAACGAAGAAAAAATGACTGGTTATAAAATTAAACAAGCTTATATATTTTTATCTTTAATAACCAGGTAAATATGATGACTTGATTATAATCTAAATTAAAATCAACAATCTGTCATTGATATTTTCTGAGTTACTGAATAAACACGTTATAGTACATTACGATACGTTAGTGCGTTATGATGGTTATAAAATGCGAGGCGGAACTTCAGCCCGAGCCGAAGGCGAGGGCGTAATTGAACCGAGCATGTTATAACCAATACGCACGTATATCGTACGACGCTTTTTAACACATTTGCGAGGAAACAGAAAAAAAATCATTAAATAAACTCAATCTGTGAATGTACACTGTTGCTATCCCGCCATTTTAACAGCGCGCTAGCGCCGCCTACTGACTGGCGCCGCGCGGCGATTAGTTCGAAATTTGAATAGCAACAGCGCGCGAAATGGCAAATAATACTGTTATGGAATTTGTATGGACTATAACTTAATTATTGGCTTTGGCAACACACGGTGGAATTACACCGGTGGAATTACATCAGCTTTACGAGCAATGGTGCTAAAAAATAACACAGAGCTATCGCTGGATGAATGCTATGGAAGACACTGTATCTTAGTGAAAAAGAAACGCGGTTAAAAAGAGAAGGAAACCATATGTTTCTGAATTGATAGATCGGTCGTGAAATATCAAAATACACAAATGAATGATTTGACATTCAATCTTACACTCTCGACGTATAATTTGTCTTAAATTAACTTTTCCGTTAGACCTTTGGCTAATCTTCCGTCGATATGTTTCATCCCTTATCATCATCTAATTAAAAAGGGATAGAAATAAATAATTTTGCAAGACGGATTAATAATTTTCAACGGTAATATATTAAAATAACAATAAACTGCAGTAAAATAAGAATAGTAATAGTAAGTGTAATGGCCATAGTTAACTATTGTTATGCGCTAAATTGCAACTATAAAGTAATTTATGAAATAAGTCATCGGAACAATATCCTTGAACATTAGATGACTGGGTGTACTTGATATCACCTCTCATCAAACCTTTCCTAGGACTACGACACACATTTTAAAACTAAAATCAGCCAAATAGGCCCAGCCGTTCTCGAGTTTTAGCGTGACAAACGAACAGTAATGATTTCAATATATGTATATAGATTTTCAATAAGATATTTAAGGGTTAGCGCATATTGGTCGAGGAACATCAGAACTAATAAATATATAATTTGATATTCAACCTTGCACATTCGACGGATGATACGTCGCGTACTAACGCAAACTTCCAAGAGACGCTCGGCGGATCATCCGTCGAATTTGCACGGACCCCTAAACATGCCTATTATACTTAGCTTTGACACAAATATTTGTTTAAGTAATGAACTGCATTATGATAATTGAAAACAATTATAATTAAAAAGTTTCTTTACATTTGAAACTTTTAAAATTGTTTAGCGAAAATGAGTGTTGGCTTTTTATATAAAAATTAATTTAATCCCTATAAATATTTATAAATGATATAAATGTATACTAGATGTACTTCTGTAGTGTTGTTTGTCTGACGTATTTTAAAATAGAAACCACTGTATTGCTAAATTTTACTTATATAAAAAAAATTGCTCAAACTTTGTTTTGTGTTGAAGATTGTTGATGTATTATAAAAAAAGCAACGGCTTAGTAGACGAAGAGAGATTTCAATGTAGGAGAAGCTATATATTGTGATTGAAATAAAATAGTTGGAATTATAAAATGTCTTTTATATTCACTGATTAGCTGCCTCTGATGCGATGTGTCGCCCTAGGATAATTATTCACAATTAACAATTATTCATGCACAAATTCATAAAACCAAGGAAGCCTGCTAATGTAAACGTATTATTGGTACTTCAATGTTTCAATGAATTCCATTTTCCCACCGCATAATTTATCTGACGCAAAACTATGTATTAGCCGTACAATGGCGTTTTGTTAAATCAATAAAGACAGTATAATATAACTTTTTCAAAAAAGGTACTACTTAAACGCCATTGATAGACCTTAAGTATAATAATATTACCTGAATTAAGCCCAAGTTCGATGGCTTCCTCTGTCGTTGGCCAGACTTCTATCCAATAAGAAAAATTCTGAAGTCTCTACCCGTGAGCGCAGCAATATTGTTCAATGGATATAGCGCCTCGATCATCTTTCTAACCTGAGTTGCGGCCACCTAACTCTGTAGCTATGATTAAAACCGTAGGATACGATAATAAGTCTCGATGTTATTCCGATATTAAATTTCATTTTACTACTTTGGAATTTTAATAATAAACGAACGCAACATAAAAAGCGATGGTTATGGATTGACAGCAGTGTTACTAACGTACTCGCTTTTCGCCAACAAAAGACATGACAAAGTAAAATCATGAAATATATCGTCGTAACATTGCCGACTCCCTATGACTATAATCAAGACTACAGAGTTAGTTGGTCACTCTGCAGCTCTAGCTATTACTCTAGCCATAGATTTTTTTCTGTGTTCGACTGCAATCAATATCAAACTAAGGTCTCAAACTATTAGTAGAAGATCCGAACCTAAATCGACCTTCACCGGGTTGATAATGGAATAAAACTTATTGTATAATTAATTTAGTATATTAGAAAATATATTAAAAATGGGTTCGCTAAAAAAATCCTGGACAGAATATTTTTAATTATTTTTTAAAAAATATTTTTTTATTAAATGTTGCAACATCAAGATAATAAGAAAAATTTAATTCTGACTTAAAGTATAAAACATATAGAATGTGCAGACGTTGGGTTGTCTATTATTTACCTGGACGAACTACTGGGTTGTCAGGTATAAACAGGTATATCGATGCCAGTTAATTTCACTTGATTTGATAATAAAAAAAAAATTATATCAACATAAGCGCTGTTTCATTACGAACACATTGATATAGGTTTGTCTGCAAAAAATTCGGTCTTAATACGGGTTTGCAAATTTTAAAAATTAAAATTTTAACGCGTGGTAAAGTGAGTGACAGAGAGATCCGAGGAAAGTATTCCGTGTAATAGTAAACGACCCAACATTGCAGTCGCATCTGATCGGACCCTGAATATATGAAAGTGCGCATGCTCGGAATGTAAAATATGGAGGGTGGAGGTACTACTACCCCTCCGTATAGTAAACAGTGCACGTTATTTTGGAGCAACTGACATTTGATTTGCAAAAAAAAGTAATTTATTAAATTCATAACAATCTAATATATTCAATATAGTGCAAATACAATATTAAGCAATATAACATTTGCTAAATAAATATATATTCATATATATTGACTTATGAGTATAATAATATTTTATCTATAAAAGAATAGTTTTGTAATTTAAAATATGATGACGTAAATAGTAAAAATATCAATAACTTGCTTTCAATTTTTTTTTGTTCTTTCTGGAAACAAATTAAAGAGAAATAAAGTGGACAGCCGAAAATTCAAATTAAAATATAACAAAAAAAATTGATTTAAGATTTCGTATTATATTTAAAAATGATATTACAGAACAGCATAAGTAATAAAACATTATTAATATAAAATAAATTGTAATAAATATTTTCTATTCAATATCTGATTCATCAGAAGTAAAATTCTGACTCTCAAACTCATCAGATTCATTAGATTCTCCCTCATTTACTTCCATTTCAATAATTCTCTTTTTTTTTGTTTGATCTCCGATAAAACCTGTTTCTTTTAAAAAACCATCTAAATGCCAACCGAAGCTTTCAGGGTTTAATTTTGCACATATAGAATCAGTTGCATGAAGCCACATAGAATTTACATATATTGTTCTTAAAATTTTTTGTAGTAGGGAAATCCAACATGGCGGTATGGAGTTGGAGTCAAAACTTTTAACCTTGCTTAAAAATTTTAAAAATTTTAATTTTTAAAATTCGCAATCCCGTATTAGGACCGAATTTTTTGCAGACAACCCTATATCAATGTGTTCGTAATGAAACAGCGCCTATGTTGATATAATTTTTTTTTATTATCAAATCAAGTGAAATTAACTGGCATCGATATACCTGTTTATACCTGACAACCCAGTAGTTCGTCTAGGTAAATAATAGACAACCCAACGTCTGCACATTTTATATGTTTTATACTTTAAATCAGAATTAAATTTTTCTTATTATCTTGATGTTGCAACATTTAATAAAAAAATATTTTTTTAAAAATAATTAAAAATATTCTGTCCGGGATTTTTTTAGCGAACCCATTTTTAATATATTTTCTAATATACTAAATTAATTTTATAATAAGTTTTATTCCATTATCAACCCGGTGAAGGTCGACTTAGGTTCGGATCTTAGACCATATAAGTATATGATTTTTGTCATGTAGAGCGTATCCTCTATCGAGGATATCTACTCTTTCTTTCAATTAAATATGTCTTTTCTCCATAACTTTTCTCTTAAGATCAAAGAATAAAAGAATACATATACTATTTAAATTATGCGCCTCGGTATATTTCGTGTTTACGAATTTAATCGATCAAGAAACCAATGTGTGGTCGACGTTTTAGCCGCCAAAACTCGTCAGTACCTCGACTGTGATGGAGTTGATAGCTCGCAATATTTCAGTATTAAGAAATGTATAGAGCTGTAATACGCCAAATTACCTTATTTGAATATATGTACTTAATTTATTCATACATAGTGTAATCGATAGCAATTTAAAAAAAGAAAACCTATAAGCGAAACCTATAAGCGGTCAGTCCAACTTATATTAGAAAAAGTTAATATGATAGGACCCGACGAACGGAAAGTATGTGATCATGCTATCAAGTGTGAGGATGAGTACCGGAAATTTGAGCCTGTGTTTGATAACCATTCGGATAGATTCATTTTAAACATTGGTTCCAGCAGCGACAGTAATGATTCAGAGTCTGAAATGTCGGGTATAGAAGTCATATCAAATTGTGATTAATTGATAAATTTATATTAATTAATGAATTTTGTTTTATTAAAAAAACTGTTCTTACAACTTTAATTAGTACAAATGATTTATCTTAATTCGATTTTCTCGCAAGTGCATTTGGTGTTTCTCAAGCCGTTTATGATATTTGTCTCTGGAAATCTGTATTTCTTCATCTTCTAGCTATAGATAGAAAAATTATAGTGCCAGCACAATATAGTTCTAAAAATATGGTATTAAACTTAGATACTAAATAAAAACAACGTAATTAGTTCTATATATTTTCATAATAATCCTGCCCATATATAAAAATACAAGAAAAATATTAGTACACTATTATACAAATATTTTTTTTATAACGGGATTTGGTTCCTACCTGATAATCCTCACGACATCCAGCTTATTCGCGCATCCCCTCGTCCGTGCCTCGTTTTCTTCATTATTGAGGGACGTGACCTCCTCTACTTGGTCTACATTATAGTCAACCAATCATGAAAGAAAAGTCCATCTTCTACATTGACCCAAATGGGAATCAAATTCAAATTCATTTATTTATTCAACACAGATATAGGACATAGTAGAATAAAGATAAACATACGGAAGAAAGCTTAAATAAAAATAAAATAAAGTGTCCCATGCCTGTGTCAAAAGGGCATCTAGTTCAGCAGTCAGTGACGCTGACGCTGTTTTTCAACTAGACCGTTTCCTTCTTTGACACACGGATGCCACACAGTACAGACCAAGCACGCACATAAAAGTAGATAAAAAAAGTAATAATATGTAAATGAATTATACATTTCTGACGTCACACCTACAAGCAGCACAAATCCAACCAACTTGCACCAACGGTAAGCCACAATGCATTCTAACAATATTCCATTGATTATCAAAAAAACATAAATAAGTACTTATAAAATAAGATAAAAAGAAAACAATCCTAGGACCTAAGAAATGGCGACAAATTTACCATTAGTTTTTCGTATATTTCTCTTATTACTCACGCGCATCAAGTGGCTATTAAATTGGATCTTGTTTGGGAGAAATGGTTCTAGGAGCTAGCAAAACCTGACTACGTGAGATAACTTGCATTTCACGCTGGAGGCACCTGCAGGGACTTTAGAGTGGCTCAAGTTAATTAATATCATAAAAACAGATGCTGATAAGAAATAAAAAGACAAAGGTAGGAAATAGAAGAGAAAGATATACTATATAATCTAACCCGTTAACTTTTTTATGCACACTCGAAAAATGTGTATGCGTAAGCGCAACTTCCATAAGTTTCTTTTTCGTCGTTATTATTTCTTTTTGAAGAAGTAAAAGTCAATAAGAAATAGACAAATCCAAAGACATTTGAAACCAAAGAGGATGAAAAATTATTCGTATTAAACTGTCAAATTTTATTACCATAAGTTTCGGCTTCAATAAATTTTCGTAATTGTAAAAATTCACACTTTTAAATAAATTAGTTTTAAAAATTCTAGTGAAAACAATTTAAAGACTCAAAATCAGTTAACTAAAGAGTGAAATAAAAGAAAGTTAAAGAACTAGCACCTTATACCTCTATCTGTTCTTAAAATGTAAATTCTTAAAACAGTTCCTAAAAATCCAAAGTTCATTATTTGACAGAAGTACAAGCTGGAATTTAAAGTTATGTGACGAATAACAAGTATCTAAAAGTATAGTAACATTTAAGTTATAGGGAAAATATCACAAACTTAATCAATATGCCTCTTTTAAAAATACCGCATGATCTAACTCTCACAATCGACGGCCACAACAAATGGTTGAAGATAATAAAAGATGCTCAAGAGTTAATTGATAATGACATTGATATGCAGGTAACAATATATCTGTCGCTGAAGGTCTGAAGTTCAAAAAAATACCGTTATCGTTTCAATTTCGTTTCTATGATAGTTTTACTCGTCATTTACGTTTTGAGACTGTTTTTTTAAAGTGTTATAGCCCAAAAGTATAATTAAAAACTCAGATAGCGACAATACTGAAAAAAATTGTTCGGATAAACGACAGTTTACTGATTTATATATTAAGAGCAATTTTAAATTAACAGGACAAAGCGGCATCCGGTCTTCGTTTGAAAGAGCGTAACCTACCAGCAGAAGTACTAGGCAGGACCTATGCCCAATATTGTACACTTATAAATAAAATGTATGACACGTTTTTAAACAACGTGCAATTGCAGAGAGCGCCTTACATGACTGATATTATAAGTGTATTTTTAAAAAGGTTCGTTATACATAACTAATATTATTAGGGTGGGTACACCAGCAGCAAACCGATTTAGCAAATTTTAAAAACTGATGATTTTAAATCAACATTTTTACAACAATCATTAAGAAAAAACATTGTACTCCTTTAAGATCACTTGATTGTCGAAAACAATGCTACCAAACTTTAAAAAATGGCGAGAAATGCAAAAATAGTTTTCCTAATATTTAGCTTTGAAGATTGAAACGGTGTACTACTGGTTCGTGGTGTCTGACATATCCATCTACGTAATTTTACGTCCTATGGTAAAAAGTGCGAGTCAGACTCGCGTACGAACTCGGCTCCGGCCACATAATAAAACTCAAAAAATATTAGATGACAGATGGACGGACGGACAGACAGCGGAGTCTTACACTTTGAATACGGAACTCGAAAGAATGAAATAAATCAGGTAGGCCCTTACTTGGGTTTCTTGTGCTCCAGATAAAAATCGCTTTACGACTTTTTACTGTTTCCTACCCGTACTTCGAATGGGTGCATATCCATCATACTTTGTCTAATAAATACGAAACCATCATATAATTCACAGAGTTTACGAACTGCGCAATGAAATAGTCCACTTGATCGTCAACGATTACGTTTATGTAGACGAAAGTTTAATTCAAATGAAGTTGACTCCAGACGATATACAAGTAAGGAATGTTTTTTTTTTTTTTGTCATAGAATTGACTTCTATTTCTATCTTAAAAGCGGTTTAATCATACAAGAGACTGCTATTGAAGTCGGGTATTAAATTTTCTGTATTTTATTAAATGATAACCAGTCGAAACACTTTTTAACATGGGTATTTACGCTTAATAAAAAATCGATTATATTTTTGGAAAAAAAATGGGTAATGTTGGTCATACTTTATATATTGGGTTGGCACTAAAGTAATGAGACACACTAGAAAAATCTATAACATTTCCTTTTTAAAATCAATTTTTTCGATAATATTCTAGAATGTTGTAGAACATTCTAGGTACTTCTGGTGTAGGGTATATAAAGCCGCGCTCGCGATTTATTTAGTCAGTTTGAAGAAAAATGGACGAGCGACAAGTTCGAACACTACACTTATACGAGTACTTGTTAGGCCACAGTGCGCGGGCTGCGGCTGACAATATCAACAATGCATTAGGCGCTGGAAGTACAAGCCATGCGACGGTCTCCCGATGGTTTGACCGTTTTAAATCAGGAGACAGGAGCCTTGAAAGTCAGCCACGCTCAGGGCGACCACCCGCAGTGAATGATGACGATTTGCGCCGCGAACTGCAGTTGAATCCGGATGCTACCACTCGTGAATTAGCGGAAGCACTTAAATGCAGTCACCGCGCCGTGGAACACCATCTGCATGAGCTTGGCTATCGAAAAGTTTTGGCTCGGTGGGTACCGCACATCCTTACAGACGCCAGTCGTGCAGTCCGTGTCGCTATCTGTCAGTCACTTTTGCTGCGACCCCGACGATAAAGAGTTTTTGTCAGATCTGGACAAAAACTCTTTACTGGAGATGAATCATGGATTTATTACGAGAACGATACACGTCGTGCTTTCTGGCTGCCTCGAGAAGAAACGCCACCAACTCAACCGAAGCCGAGTCAAAAGAACCGCCGAAAAATTCTGCTTTGCTGTTTCTGGGATGCGCAAGGCATACTGTTTTATGAGCTATTACACAATGAAACTATAAACGCTGACAAATATTCAACCCAGCTTACCAAATTATCTGCCGCTATCAAGAAAAAACGACGAAGACGAGTCAATGTAGTTTTACTGCACGATAACGCTCGATCTCACGTCGCATCTGTGGTTCGCCGGCAGTTGGAGAACTTGGGCTGGGAGACGATACCCTACCCACCTTATTCCCCAGACCTCGCCCCATCAGACTATCATTTGTTTAGAGCCCTGAAACAGCATTTGCGGGGTAAACAATTTAATGATTTCTCTGACGTAGAGGCGGAGTTAAACAACTTTTTCGAGGCACAGCCATCAGAGTTCTGGGCAAAAGGCATCCAAACTTTGCCGGATCGTTGGCAAGAAGTCTTAGATACTAATGGTAATTACATCATTGAATCAACTTTTTTTATTGTAATAATAATAAAAAAGTAAAAACTTAAACCAAGTGTCTCATTACTTTTGTGCCAACCCGATATTTTTTATGAGTGTCATAAAAGTCACACTAATGCGAAATGCTGAATATGTTGTTTGTTCGGTGATATAGGTAAATAATAAATCTAAGTTATTTTTAGTATTTGGCAAACTGTTTTTGGCAACTTTCGGAAGAGTCGGTCACGGGATGGGTGACCAAAAAATTATTATCTCGAGCTACTCCGTGTTTCGGAAGGCACGATAAGCCGTCGGTCCCGGCTGCATTTGTAGTCGTTAATTACCGTCAATCCGCATTGAGCCAGCGTGGAGGGTCATGGCCCATGCTCCTTAACCATCCATAAGGAAGGCCTAAGCCCCTGCAGTGGGGACGAAATAAAGGGCTGATGATGATGATGAATCCAATTTTTATTAAATCTTGAAGGGATCACCTTAGGCAATTAAAATTTGCGAATAACTGACCACATGAGCCTATTCTATTATCACAAACCTCTTTGTAACCTTATTATCAATCAATGTACCTATATTTTAACAATCAGCTATGCTATGCTGTAAAAAAATCAGCATCGAACTCAATCTCCAATCAATAAATACAACCCTAACTCAAAAGGTAATAAAAACTTTACTTTATTGAAGCTTTAAGTATCGGCGCTGTGCTTGCCATCGTGTTCGATTCTAGTTTTAGTACATAATAACAAATCAGCTGACCGTACCGAGGACCTCGATGTTGCTGTGGCGGGTTCGGTCTGCGATGTGGAAGTGAAGCGACTTGCGAAGCGGCCAGTCATAGGATGGGTTACCAAAAATTTCTTATCTCGAGCTCCTCCGTGCTTTGGGAGGCAAGTTAAACCGCTGGTCTTCTTTGCATTTGCAGTCATTAATAAGTACATCAATATGCACTGGGTTATGGCCCGATCTACCTATTCGATTCTATCATTAGGGAAAGCCTGTGCCCCAGTGCTGGGGACATTAGTAGACTAAATCATGACTGTACCGACGTATACAGATAGTGGTCCCGTACCATTACCCATTAGAGTGTAGACAAGAATCGAGCGAAGCGCTGCTACAAAAAATGTGGCTTGAAGCTGTAAAAAGGAAGAATGCTGCTTTGAAAAAGGTAAAATTATATGATTTAGTATATGTGTATTAGAAGCTAGCTATTCTCTTGCGACATCGCCTCGTAAAATATAGCCTATGTACCCGCGATCTCATCCACATGGAAGCATAAGCTATCGGCCACTGAAAGTTCCATCATAATCGGTCCAGCCACAAACAGTCAGACAATAAAAAAATAAAAACGATATTTTTGTATACATACCGTATAAACATATATTATAATATTACAAATAGACATCCAATTTTATTTATTTTTATAGATGTATAGATTGTCTTCCGTGTATGATGTAACTTCCCGTAGGCACAGATACAAACACCGTAGATGAAAGAATTTCATCAAATCGGTTCAGTAGTAACGGAGCCTTTTCATACAAACAAACAATCAAATCTTTTCTCTTTATTATAATTGTGACACATATACAAAAGGGAAAAAACAGGAACTACAAAGGTACTTGCCTATTTTTAAGTTATTAGTCCGCAGAAAACATTCTAAAAAATATAAACAAAATTAAAACACTTTTCGAAAGTCCAAGAAATAGAGTGGAGAACAAATAGTTAATTTAAATAAGTCTTCCACGATATGATGAAATTCAAGAATAATCACTAGAACACTGATTTTTTGCGCAGAAAGTCGTATTCAGTATAAGCATTCGTACGACCATGATTGTACGTTTACGCAGGACACAAATTCGTATCCAAAGTGGGCTTAGCCTAAACTATCTCTCTACTTTTTCTTTAGGATAACCTTATGCCGGATAAAAGTGCATTTGCGCCGGACACTATGCTGCAGTCGTCTGAAGCCATTAACAATATTGAGCGTTCTTCGGTAGATAAAGAAGACAGTACTGGTAACAACTAAGCTATTTATTTAATTTATATATTACGATAATACAAGTACAAACTTTAATTGATTTATTGCTATCGTATGTGTTTGACGGATGTAAACATCCATTTTTTCCGTAACCAAATGGTACCCTATTAGTAAGACTCCGCTGTCTGCTCGTCCGTCTATCACGAGGTTGTATATCATGTACCGTGATAGAAATTTTAAAATCAGGTTCCGTTGCTGCTTAAGCAACAAATATTAAAAAATAGAACAAACTAAATATTTAAGAGCCATACAAAAGATGTGGTTTTTGTGCGTTTTACATAGATGGTATGGAACTCTACCTGCGCGTGTCTAAAGCAGGTTTATTAATATTACAGTAAATTGAATAATACTATTAATTAAGTATTATTTGAATAATTAAGTAAGATCACATATAAATTGCACATAAAGTCGTTTCTTTTTTTAGATGTGAATTAGTTTATATCTCTTTTCTTAAATTAATTTAGTAGGGACATAAGTTATATGTTTGTTAACAATGTGTTCCCTGTAAATTTGAGTTATATTTGGTGCAAAATAGACATTTTCTTTACAGGCAAAGATGTATTTTTTGGATGTAGTAGACAACTGTATTTTAGGAGCTGCACCACGCTAAAAAACAATAAAATTATTTTAAAGTAATAAAAAATGATATGATTTTAATATAATTACAGATTTTTTAAGTCAACACTCGGTGTTGCCAGAAGAATACCTTCAAGCTAATATTATTCAACGACATGAAAGATACAGGTATAGTAAACAAACTTCTAAAAACTGCCACAGCGCCATCTATCGAAAATGAGAGTAACGAATGTGTTTAACTACGATTGTTTAAGTATGTTCATTGGGGTTTCGAAATTTGGTGCTATAATAGTTAATAACAACAAAAAATTATAAACAACGAAGTTATTTTGATCCTGTAGGTCACATGATAGGTTAAAAATTTTAAGACTTAAATTTAAAGTTCGAGGTTATAATAATAACAGATAAAAAAACTAAATAAATGTTTTGGCGGCTTTTAAATCAGTCGTTCTCATCAATGTGAATGAATGGAATGTCGCCATTAAATTAAACTTTTAACCAGTTGGCTGCGACATGTACATGCCCTTAATTATATTTAGTATCATAAACGTAGCAAGCTATACATAATTATTAGGATCGATGTAAGTAACTGCCTATCTTACTAAATAATAATGCATGACTCCATTATTTTTCATATAACGTTGTCTAGGATGAAGATATCTTTCATTTTCAATAAATTACCCTTTGACATTTAAAGGAAGAACAAAATGCTAATCGAATTCACAGCAGTTTAAAGGTCGATTTACATTTTAGCACTCGAAATTTTACTAGATTAGTATTTTACTTAATTTCTACTTCTCGTACTGAACTAATTTTTTCCATCTACAATGTGCCTCATACCAGCCTAGGGCACAGCACATTTTTTATATCCTCTATTCTTTAGTAATGGTAACGGTTCTTTGGTATGTAAAGGACTGGAAACGTCTATAAAAGTAACCTTTCTGCCATTTCACTTTCGATTTCGCTCGCGTGGTCCTGTGTTATATCTAGATATATCTTGAATCACTATATATAGCGATGAATACCGCATTAAAATACCTTGAATAATTTAAAAGATCTCATCATCTGGGAAAAATACATCTACGACTCTGCGCGGAAGTCTGCTGTTCACTGTATGAAAGAGTTTTTTTTTAAACATTACAATACTATACAATACAATACTTTTGAAATATTGACATACATTTCAGACAATTCTTCATGGTGGACTTTAAAGCTAAATGCTTCAGAAGAAGGACTTACTTTACTGCAAAAGTTGATGAAGCTCCATTATCTTTGAAGACAGCGGCAGCAAATCTTATACAAAAAACTTATAGGTTTGTAATTATAGTTAAAGGTAAATTACAATTACCACTACACGAATATAGTGCATTAAACCATTCTTAATATAAAAAGGTCAGTTCACATCTTACTGAAGATTACTGAAGAAGTGCGCTCGACGTACTAATATCTGATTTTTAGAAGGCAATAGTTTTTTTATTTTATTTTGGTTCTTGAGCACACACAGTACATAAACGAAATTCTTTATTTCAGAAATTATATGAAGATAAAAAGACAACATGTTCTCGATATCAAGACAGATATGAGGCTTGGTCTCATCCAAAATCCATGGTCTGTTAAACTGAATTATGATGAAGAAAATAAAAAAGTAATCTAAGTATACTACATTTAATCAAAACTACGCTACTATACTTTCAATAAAACTATGGTAGCTCGATTGCATTTTGTTAATTAACTTCAACGAAATGAATTGGAGCTACCTAAAGAGTATTTTTAGTACGTTACGTTAAATGTGACAACAAAACAGTACATAATTAATCTGCTTTATTTATTTATTTAAGACACGTCAACATCGGAATAACTTTAAATCGGAATATTAATAAACAAGGTTTAGCGTTGGAGTAAATTTACGCTGAGACTGAACTTATGTACTATAAGTCAAAATTCATATTATTAAATAGAAACTTAGTAAACGTTAACCTAGTACAGGACCTACGGGAGTAATATTTACTCCTAGAAGGTAGTAGGTTTGCTCATTCTCTGTATAATAAGAAATTGAAGTAGTAAGTATTAAAATTGCAATGTTAGCGTAAATTTTTCAGTTTTTCAGAAAGCGTTTCAGTTAAAAATTTAATGACAGTTATACACGACGACGTGCACACAGCACAATATTTTTTTTGCTTTATTCTACTAGTGGTACTCCTTGTCCTTTTCTTTTTTGTACAAGGGTACACACATCTGACGAAAGATCCGTCAAGCGTCTCGCGGAAGAAGCGTTAGTGCGCGATGGATCTTACGTCGAATCTTCAAGGTTTCGTGTACCTTGAAAAGTGATGCAAATGATAAAAAGTGTACCTACATCAAAATTACCTATATAAGAAAAAGAAATAAACATGTTAATATAATCTTACTGTCTACTTATCTAGATAAATGAGGATAAAATATATTTTCATGAACAGGTATATGAAAGAAGAATAAAAATGCGCTCAAGGCTTAATAAAATATTCATGGAAGAATTAAAGAAAGAAAGAATCAGGTTGATTGTGTTTAAAAAAGAAGATCAAATAGATGATATCACGGAAGAGATCAGGGAATGGTTCAAAGAATGGTTAGAGTTTTTTAAAATTTTCAAGTTACAAAACTCGTAAAATGGACATTGTGAGATTTTATGATATGGATAAGGTGCTTAAAACTTTATAAATTGTAAGTTTGATTTTAGTGTATGTAATAGTGTACTTATTGTTGGCTATCCTAATAAATAAATAAAAATAAAATTATATATAATACTAGCAGTTTTTCTACGTATTTGCCCGCGTAGATTATAGTCTGTGTCACCTGTGCGTATGATGTCGCTTCCCGTAGGTGAAACCATTTTAGAGTCGGTCGTGTGAGTTTGGAACGTATTCAATGAAAACAATCAAAGAAGTACTTCCTCATTATAATATCATTACTTTCCCGCGACTTTACCCGCAAAAATTTTTAGCTTGTGTCACACGTGTATGACGTAGCTTTCCGTAGATGAAAAAAAAATTAAAACCAGTTCACTACTCTAAGAAGCTATTGAACGCCATCTTTTTCCTTTCCTCTTTATAAAATTATACTTAAAGAGAATTTTTTTATAAAATTATACTATAGAAATTGAGCTTTATATATTATAGATATCTATAGTAGAACTTCAAGGGTTGACTGATGTAAATTTTCAATTATATTTCAAATAATAAGTAACATAACCATAATATTTCTTAATCTATTATTTATCAATTTCAAAGGTATTATGGTTATGGGTTCTTCCCTGAATTCCCATACGATTTAGAAGGAGGTACTCTGATTGTGGTCAGAGGGGACTATCCATCAGTAGAACAAAAAAAAGAAGCTGATGAAAAATATTTAGCTGCTACCAAAGGAAAAACGAAGGACCAGGTACCATTCAATTCTCCACTGTCCAACATCAACACAAGTTAAGTCACTTCAAATCAAAGTGTTGCCATTGAATTTGCAGTTATAAGGTTCACCATTTCCTTATTACATCATCAAAATTGAAAACGTTTGTGTTCCATTCATTAATTTACATACATACTTTTAAAAATTGACATGTCTTACCATTCAATGAATGGTTAATGCATTCATTCCAATTATTTAATGATAAAACAACTTCATATAAAGGTACGTATTGTATATTTATATTTAAGCAATTTTGCATTAACAATGCTATACTAAATAATATTCTTAATGAAAAATATTTAAAAAAACTCACTTTGTCCCATTCACTCTGAGATGGGACTCGAACCCGACCTTTAGCAATCGAGGCGACTGCTCTAACCACTGACTAAAATTTATTAGTTAAAAGAAGAAGCAGCTCGAGCAAAAGCAGACGCACAGATGAAAGCGCTTATAGAAAAGGATAAACAAAAGAAAGAGGCCCAGCAGCTGTTGAAATTGCGATGCGATCCGTTTTCAGATCCTGGCTATGAAGTGAAACGTTCTGAACTCAAACAGGAATTGATAGAGGTTAGAGAATGAAAAGCTAATTCAATGCTATATTGATTGTATAACTTTTAAACTTAGAGTTTGGTAAATTGTTTTTAAAATTTTTGATTCGCCCAGAAACTTTATAAACGAAGAAGCACCACTCAATAAAATGAAAACTCTAAATTTCAATGTGCAGGCAATCCAAAAATATCGAACTGTATGGTCGGTCCATGATAGATTTGCCCCGGACAGATCTCCTGAAGTGATATATGGGTTCATGAAAACATTTCTTACCGAAGAGCTGATGAAAGAGATGCATGTGGAGTGCCGAAAACACGTGGATGATTTGATGAGGTGAAATAACGTAGTTGAAACGAGATGGGCTTCTTTATTTTGTATTTCAGACATTGCTAGTGACATTAATAGTCAGTCATAGTTGCGGACATCACAGTCATATCAATTTTAGTTATAACACCACTTTATTTTATAAATGTTCATCATTGTCATAAAAGTTTTTTTTTTATAAATTTTTTATATATAATAACCGGCAACTCGACTGTTCCGCGTATTTTAAAACTTTCATATGATCATATCTATCAGACCATATCATATTTATTTTTCTCGAAAGGCGTTATTAAATAAAGAAAAAACATATTTTATTCATCTATTTGAAATGCCCAACGAGTTCAATCAATTAACTGACATTTTGAGCTGTGACGTCACATTTCAATAAATACAAATATAAGCACAAATTGAAATAACCTGGAAATGTTTTATAATCTAAGCAATGAAACCATAAATAAACACTCACAAAAAAAGGTTATTTGTTTTAATAAAATGTAACGTCACACGATTCTTTATGGCCGGCCCTGATTCTGTTCTTGAAATCCACAGATTTTTATTATTACCATATTTTCAAAAGTGAAATACGCTAACAATTAATTTTAAAGGAAAAATTACAACATAGTTACTGCTTACATAAAAGTTACCATATCCAACATATTTTATAATTTATTCTTAAAAATTTCAAGCAGACCATTGCATGTGGTAATTTCATTGTGTCAATATTGAACATGAACAGTGCAATCTAATTTGTAAAAAGAGTTTCGTTTCCAGATTAGATTTGAAATTATTAATAAGTATGCAACAGTTGATGTATAAGCGAGTCGGCTGGAAGTACCCTAAGATGACACCGAGAAAGAAACCCAAAGTGCCACAGATACCAAAACCGTTGTTGATGGATAGCACAATGTTTAAGGAGTTTGAGGTAAAAATTCAATGGCAGCTACTTAGTTATTAATTCAATGGGTTTTTTTTTTATTTTATGTTGCCAATACGCTGGCCTCACAGACCAGAGTCGGCATCAGGGTTGCTTATGGAACAGATGTTCTGCTTCTATCGGTTGCTGTTCAGCGCGTACTTAAACGACTGTGTAGAATTTTGGTGATGACGAGTCTTTACCTTAGTTGTTTAGTTGGTAAACAACAGTGCGATGTTTTACTTCCCACCACAATCCATACTTTCGTTACTCGAAGAATGCGTTTTTGATATAGAGGTTGACAGGTTCCCATTCCAAGCTAGCTAAAGGTGTTAGATCTTGACTTGACTTGACTGTTTCTATTTGAGAAAATAAGCGTCTTGTTACTTATTGCGCAAAGTCAAAATTATCTTCATTCAAATAAATTTCTTAAACGTCCATCCAACATATTTTTTTTATTCTTCATACAAAATGCTTAAAAAATCCATTTGGTCTCTGGCATCCTGAGATGGGAATCGAACCCACGACCCTTCGCAATACGGACGACCACTCCAACCACTGAGCCACCCAGGACCTAACAGGACTGACGAATCTTTCAAGCACTTGTTACTCCTCGCTACTACAGAGCGTATTCCCATCAATGTTCAGGCATCCACCCAAACAGCCGAAAGAAATATTGTTGCAAATATTGAACTTTCGATAAAGATGAGAATTTTGTTGTAATTATTATATTTTTATTAATTTTGTATTCACAATGCCACACTGAAAATTATACTTTATACAAAATGCTTAAAAATTCAACTTGGTCCGTGGCTAGGCTTGCCAGACCGCCGGTAAATCCGGGATTGTCCCGGAATCTTGCCTCTTGTCCCGTGTCCAGTAATTAGCGCTTATTGTCCCGGATTCTGGAAACTTATTATTTTTTTACAAAATAAACTAGCAACGAATGACACGGCTGCGGATAATTTGTTTGTACTGATTTCCTACTAAAGCTTAACAAAACATTACGAGGAGGTGCTCAAATTGGTTTAAGTTTATTTTATGTACTAAAAATTTTTTTGTTACTAACAGTCAAGTACTGATTGTTTTTTATAAGTTATATGTGTTTTATAAGAAAATAAATGGCATTTTTCCTTTTAAATACAAATACGAAAAAATATATATATAAGATATTTTCTATTATAACCACGAGCCAACATTTTTTTTGTAGAATTGTCCCGGATTTGATAAGTTACTATCTGGCAACCCTATCCGTGGCACCCTGAGATGGGAGTCGAACCCACAACCCTTCGCATTTTTTTTTTATTTCCATTCTTTCAGAACATCTTTTAGCTAATATGAAGATGAGCGAAAGAAATTTACCAGTTCAAATAGAAATTTTAGCACAATTTCGGTAGCATGCTAAATCTACTATGACATTTTTTCGAACTTATCTTTGAAACGTAAAGCATCGTATAATTTTAATGGATTAAATGTGATAATTTTGTAAAATCAAATTGTGGATTTTACTTATAACGTTTTTTTATGTAATTTAACCTATAATTAATTAATTCTATTTTATATGGATTTTCATCTGAAGTGATGCCATGATAGCCTTTTTATCTAATAAATTATTTAAACATCATTATCATTACATCATCGTTGACTATGAATAGTCCAATTGATTATGAAATTCCCATTAGAATAACTCAGTTTTTTTTTCAAAATTCTACAAAGACTATCAATCTTAAATATCTATATGGGATAATAATGAGAGCAGACAACGGATTTTTAACAAATTATTATTTTTTCATAGCCGCTCTTCGACATGGGAATCGTAACAAAGCCAACGGTAAAATTGAAAGAGGTCTACGGTGATTTAAACTATGCCGCTTACGATATGAACATTCGAGATCCAGATGTATCGTAAGACTTACATACATTTTTTATACTTCTACTTATTTTTCTAAATTGTTATGTCTACAATACCTAACTTAACCAAATCTGTCAGAGAATATAGGTATATTATATTAAAGGCATATTTGAATTAATTGAAAAAACTCCGAGCACTAGTATCTAAACAAAAATAAATATATATATATAGTAGTCCCTCACTGAGACAATAATCGAAATAGGTCATCTTGGCTATATTATGACTATTGCAACCTCTTTTCAGTTTCCCTCTGCCCGGCTATGGAGATGTCAAGAGACGTATCACATATTCCTGTATTTACGGCATTGGTCTGAACCCTGGAGCTACCAGGTTAAAGGCGGTATTGCTGTTGGGTCCACCGAGAAACGGAAAGTCGTTCTTGGTTGATGCTGCTGCAGGAGAATTGAGTTAGTTAATAATAATATCGAACAACAAACAAAATTCCTTATCATTGAAAATTTTGGGCTAACTTGGTGGAGAAGTAAAGGCTTTTGAAAGACAAATGCGGTTTAAAGCTCGTTGGTCATATATCTGATATACCGGTAGTAAATGTGGTTTATTTTGTTGCGCAGCAACGAAACAACCAGCTGGAAGATATTGAGGTATGAAAATATCTCAATTCATCAATTAATTGTATTCAGCTTACAAATATTTTGCACATAAAGGAATTCAGTATCCTCGTATCAGAGTGCAATCTCCTGTGGCAATCTACAGAGAGACACTAAAAGAACATTATTGTTGATAAATGCGAGTTCTTCCATTCTTAACAAGACTCAACGCTAGTGTTTGGGGAAGGTAGGAGGAGAAGGAGGGTAGAAACCCAGTTATGGAAAAGCAACTATGGTCTTACATAATTACGTACTTCGTTTCATTCATTTGGATCTTCAGATGCCGTTAAATTCGATATAACTCCAGAAATGTTCAGTGCACAAATTGCTGATAAGCCAGCCAAGTTACTAGGAAAAGTGTTTGTGGCTGCTAGAGCATTCCAACCCTCTGTTATATTTTTAAGAAACATCGAGAAAGTTTTTGCTAAAAAGGTTAGTAAAGAGATTAAATAATAAACATATATTACATTGCTCCTCTTCCCCACTCGGCGTAATATATTGTTTTCTTGGGACTCGGGCCGGTGTCACTAGATGCCACGCGCGGGCCCACCGGAGTGCACGCTGCCATGTACCAACACATTATAACAAGGAAATTTCATATCTGTTACGTGCTCATTTTTCCAAATAAAAGTTCATACGATCATCGTTATTTTGAAAATTCATAAGAATTCGTTACTTGTGTTATTTTAAATATTAGTCATATTACCACTCTGACTTCGCTATGTCTGTAAACTTTATTGTTTCTGAATTTTAATGCCTAAATTTTAAAAAGTAAGTTCTTAGGAATATAGAAAGGATAAACATAAGAAAAAAGTTTTAATAAACAGTTATGTTTGTATACCCATTCCTTCCAGATACTGCCAGAAGATAAATATTTAAACGCTAATCAAATGAAAGTACCTTTAGCTAAACTAGTAAAGAGTATTTCTAATGAAGATAAGGTTATATTTATCGGTAAGGACTTATGTTTTTGTTCACCAATAAGCTTTTAAACAACTAAAAAGTTATTGAGGAAGAGAGACAAATTTAATAGCTGCGTAATCGCGGTAAGCTTTCTTGAATTTGGATAAGTTTCACAATAAAATGTCAGTAAAGTAGACTATGGCTATAATAAATATTCTTGCAATGTTGTGAGGAAGCCTAAACTTATTAATTTATTACTATATAAAATGTAATGACCATAGTGAAAAATCGTAACGGTCGGTTTTAAAATGAAATAGTAATTTTAATTTATATCTAGTTGGCTCGGCGAAGTTCTAGTTTATATGGAAAAAATATTGTAATTATTATTTTCTTCTCAATTTATGAATTTGCTCTCTATAAGAACCTCCATTGGATTTCATCTATAGTTAAAAGAAAACGGTTCGACCTAAATTCAACTATTGATAAAAACAAATCAAAGACTCGGTTCAAATGTATTTGAGTTTTGAGCTCAATATTGAATTAGAGTGATATTATTTCAGCTACATGTTCAGATCCACTGTCGGGTAATCGAAACGCTATAATTTCATTATTCAATGAAACAATATTGGTACCGAGGACTGACTATGGAACTCTGCAGCAATTCTTCTATCACAAGTTACAAAGGTTTGAGTACCGACACTAAGGAGTAATCTATAGCAACGTTCTTATAAGTTTTGTTTGGTTTTATACATTGGTGAATTCATGGTTCAATTAATTTGTTTTATTTTATTAATAACCAGATGTTTTCCGGCACTATTTTTTTTAATTTTTTTGACACTGGTATATAATGTAACTTCCCGTAGAAGAATATGATCGGGTCAATATTTTCCAAAAATAACAAACAAAGTTAGAATGTTTATTTCATTATAATATTATGTAATAAATATCTTGGTAGCGTAGTGGATAAGCGCTGTAGGCTGCAATCTTTGTTGTTAGGCAATTTTCGAAAGGGTCAGTCACCGTTCATGGGATGGATGACGAAAAAAAATTATCTCGAGCTACACTTTGCTTCGTAAGGCACGTTAAGCCGTTGATGCCAGCTTTATTTGTAGTCGTTAATACCCTCCAATCCGCAATGGACAAGCGTGGAGTATCCTCTGTTACTATCCTTAAGGCCCTGAGCCCTGGCATCCTCACTGGAATGAAAAAGGACTGATGATGATAGATAAGTGCGCACTTAAAAATGCAGATGAATTAGACTAGTATTTTTCATGGTTGCCGTATTTTTTGCAGTATAAGAAGTATGCCAAGAGATTATAACGTACAAGCGCTTGCGCAGCTACTTCAAGGATACGGTTTTGGATACATAGTAGAACTATACGACAAAGTTATGAACCCAAAAAGAATTGTCAAGTAAGTGAACTGAGACCTTTAAGATTTAGATATATCATGGCTACCACATCGTCTACTTAGCCTTTTTATGGTAGGGGAATGCTTTATGCAATGTCTCCGCCACCACCCACCTCAGCACCACAATTCAAGATTTGTTAGCAGTTCAAATTTTCGTTTCTCGCGAAGGTTATCGTCACTTCGATGTTTAAATAGCACAAAATAACGAATATTGAACTAATATTGAATGAACTAACCGTATCTTTTGGTTTTGCAATGTACTCGTATGTTCTGGATTGAGATTTGATTTGACTATTTACTGGATCCCAAACCGGTGGTATATGCCAACCTTTATTTCCATTAAAATTCGGATGTTTTTTTATTTCAAAAGCCTTGCGTATCATAGGGATGACGTCTAGGTAAAAAAAATGCAATTCTATTTAGTCCGTCTGTCAGCTAATAGAAAAATATTAGATACGTATTTTTTTACTTCAATTTAACAAGAAATACCTTGAATAACGGGTATTAAAGTTGCGGAGTGGGGGCTCACTACGTCACAGTTGAGTAGAAAACGTACCATAACGTGACGTCATGTGATATTTCAACTCCATGTAACGCCGTAATTTTATAATTACGAAAAAAAAATAAAAAAAATCGTGTTTAATATTTTTAACACTCGACCTGACGGACAAACAAACAAAAATTAATTATCTTCCTACTCTAGTCTAAGGATGAATTTTCATCCCTTCATCCCTAAAACGATAAACAAGGCTCTTTTATAGGTATATTGTGAATGTTTCAAATAATATTGGTTTAAAGGTAGCCATACTCTTAGTTAAAAAGACAATCTACACCTTAGTCTCATGTGAACACGAAACCAGCACGCGTAGCATGACGAACTCGAGAACGTTTTGTCTACACTCTAATGTCACTTTTCTCGGGTGCGCCCATACGCTATCTCACTCTCGACCCGAGAAACTGACAAATGAGTGTAGACAAAGCGTTTCTCGAGTTTGTCATGCTACACGTGCTGTAAAGAGTCCGAAACGTCAATAAAACTAAATACATACGCGATAAAACCATTTAAAATTTGTTTTATTTGTGTTTTCATTTCCTTTTAGTCTAAATGTGACTCCACTCTCGTTGGTTGAATTTTTGGAACCATTAATTGAAGATAATATACAAGCAGTCACTTAAGAGGTTGTATCACTTTTCTTAATTCACTAGAATCTGTCCACAAATATCTTTTCATTTTGTGATCATTAGGGAACCTCATTAAGTTTCAATCATTTTTTATCCAGGATATAAATTTTCTATATGCCTCATCATTGAGTCCATGTCCTTATAACTAAAAATTTACATTCAAATAGCTCAGCGATTCTTAATGTCACTCAATGCTCCAAATAGTGATGAATTACCAGCCAGAAATAGAGACCAATATAAATATCCTTATATTAGAATTTACCATTTACCCGCCATAATAAAAAGCTGTGATATTTACACGTAATTTTTTAATTTTCCAAATCAGCGCATGAATAACTTAGTACATATAACACTATTGCAATTTTATACGATTTCTTTAAAGGATTACCAGCAGTTCATCGAGTTCTTTCTAGACAGCAATCCCACTCTAAAGAAGGAGAGGGAAGAGTATGACGTCATCAACAAATACAGAGAGGTCATGTACCAAAAAATGGCCGCTAAAAAGAAGAAAAAGAAGGTTGAATAGAAAATAGATTTTTATGTCAAGGATAAAGTGTTAAAAATGTTAATAAATTATGAAAGAAAAATACATAATAAACGTTTTATGCAATATCATACGTTTTACTGTAATACCTCCTTATGAAATAAACTAACGGTTATTTAAATATGTTTGATTTTGGACTTCATACACTTTATCATCACAGATACGCAAATAAATTTTTCAATGCAGTTGCTCATAAAGCGCTATTTTTTTAATCCATTGTAAACACCGAAAGTGAGTCTTTAAACACGTGTTAAATAAAAATGTACTGAAATCCTTTACTGCACACGTGCTTAAAAGTGTTTTTTTTTTGGCCGAGCACCAAAGAAATTTAAAAAAAATTGATGAAAATATATCAAACTTTAGAGGCAAAAGTATTTCAAGGAGCCTAGAACGAATATTATCAAATACAAATGTATGACACGAAAACACGTTCAAATATCACGTTTAATTTTAACAAATAATTTTTACCTTTAATACATACTTAGTTTTATTAACCTATATATTTGTTTTATTTCCTCGCAAAAAGCATTGAAAAATGTTGTAAGAAACTTGAGCGTAAAAGGTTTTTCGAATTCGTGCCAATGAAAACCCTCGCTACGCTCGTGTTTTCAATTTGGCCCTTATTCGTAAAATCTTACTTTCCGCACTCGTATCTTAAATAACTATTTCGCCGCTTTCACCAATAAAGAAATGTTGAATATGTTTCGAAAAATTCACAAAATACCTAAATAGTAAAACAAATAAGGGGTTGGAAGTTTGTATAAAGTGTGTAATTTTTGAAGTCACAAATACGAAACTATTTTGCTTAATATTGATTTTGAAAAGTAATCTCCTAAAGAGGTTAATAACTGTTTGAAAATCATGTGATCTTATTGAGCTACGTCACTCAAGGAAGTCGAAGAAGGGAATCAGTTTAAGTTTTATCTAAATTATCTGAATAGTGAAAATAATAGGGTTGCTAACTACTTTTTCTATCAATGACTAGTCGATTAATATCTGAGAAATACAACAGAAGTAACTAAATAAAAATATCATTTTGGCCAACTTATGTTTATATCTTTCGGTATTTATTATTCTGGAACACCACTTCCAATATTGAATTGTCGCAGTAATTAGGAAGGCACTAGCTCCCATAATACGAAACTACTGAACGGATTTTGTGATATTTGGTATACAGATAGGGTATTAGCTGACTAAGATATTAGGATACTTTTTATCCCACCAAACAGTTTCCTAAAGACCATGCGGGCTAAGCCACTGGCGAAAGTTAGTGGTTCATATTTTTCGAATAAATAAGGGAAACCCGTATTTCCACTTGTTAGATAGTAAATATAGTAAAAAAAATTTTACATAGGACGACCAATTTCAATAGTGTTTTCCGAATAATATAATTAAAAGATTTCTTTATTACTTCCATTTTAAATCGGTAAATATTTTTTAGTTTAATATCTCCAAAACTATGTAATTGACTTTTTTCAAAGACTCATTTCAATTCCATATCTGAATTGTAAGAAATACGTGAAAAAACATTCAGACTAACATTACATTCACTTACGCTTTACTCTCGTATAAACAGAGGCTGATCACTAGTTTTATACAAAAATGCATTCGTTCATAAGAAATTTGATCACGTTTTCTATCTTTATACCTTAAAATAGACGTTAAGTATACGAGAGTAAGGCTCAAAACGAGAAACTTGTTTACGTTCTGATGAGGAATTTTTTGTCGTCTTCGATGTCTCAAATATCACGTTCGAGTTTATAAACAATTTTTTTTAAACAATTTCTTTCATTACAATCTGATTTGTAAAGCATTCAGTCTTTACATAAGGCAGAGACTACAATTCCAAAAAAGAAAAAGTACTGATTATAATTCAGTGAGTGACTATAGTTAATTTCATTTAATTGAAGGGAATTTTCTATAAGTGAAAAAGAAGAAGTTTAAAATAATAATATATCATTATAAGTTATCTGAATAAAAGAAATCGCCATGAAAACTGGAATAGAAAATATTGGTTTTCAATTTGAAAAACCTGTTTTTTACATAAATTCAAATGAAATGTGCTCAATCTACAGATCATCGAGGCCACGTTTTAAAAGAAGTGAGTGATCTTTTTTTTAAAATTTAATTTTACTCTTTCTCCCAGTTACACAAACGTCCATTAAAATTTTCATGAGTCATTAATTTAAAGCGACATTACGACCGCATTATTTTTTATAAAATCAATTAAAGCTTAAAATTGATAGTACTAAATGTAAAGTGGACAATAAAATTAGACCATCTACAAAATCGGGTGTCATAGCTGTGCTTAAATATAAAAATATTTTAAATTTATCTTTAATTAAAATATTAATTTTTAAGATAGGTGAGGGCCTTACCACTAAAAACCCTCTGCATGCCCTCAACAGTCGCAAAAGAGTTAACAAACTACTAAATTTCTCCACTTGATTTCAGACCTCTAATGCCAAGAGCTAAACTTCAAATATTAATATTCGGTTAATATTTAAAAAAATAAACCATAATTTGAATGAAGTAAAAAATGTTAATAGTAGATTATATAAATGTTAAGAATATTATTATTATAGCTATTAACAGTTCTTGCCTTATTCAAATTGTATTGAATAAATATATCTGCATAAGTTATGCCATTTTCTAAATTGTTTTCTCTCGAAGTCGCGACTATAGAGATTATAGTATTAGATTGTGTAATTACAAGCTAGAATACTATGAGTTCATATCAAACAAAAGTCACTAATCTGCAGATTCGCAATTAGTCCAGGAAATTTACGATGAGCTTACAGTGTACTAAATTTCTATCAAATAATTTAGAAAGTAATTTCTCTATGTATCAATGGGCATGGAAGTGCACCCCCCAAGTCAAGTAAAAGAGCGAAAAGAGCACGCCCGTTCCATCCTTTTCACGTAGCCGTTCGAATCCATTTTTGACTCCTTCCACTTTAGGTATACTTTTTCATATTTGATTACTTTCTTGTATAATGAGTGTAAAGTGTAATCTTTATCAAGTAACAAAAGGAATAATTTGTTTCTTTATATATATATATATATTTTTTTCTAGACAAATCAAACAGTCAAAGAAAAGAATCATCAAAAATTTGGACAAGAAATTTTATAACTCATTGTTATGGGAAAAATAAATCGGAATATAATCCAAATGATTGGAGATATTTCTTTAATAACGACATTAATATTGGGTAAGTTTTATTTTATAAATCTATACTAATATTATTAAGTAGAAATAGTTGTTTCTTTGTTTCCGTTGAATTTGCTACAAAACTACTGGACAGATTTAAAAAATTCTTTCGTGAAGAGGAAGCTATTCAAAGGAGTGTGATATATAATTATAATTTACGCTGCCGAAGTACAGATATTTCAGATGATAATAAGTAGATACTTTATAGTATATAACAAACTTTCTTGGTTTCGCACTGCTTCAGAAGTAATGGTGTATATATTCAATAAATAATTTTTCGGACATACCTTGGCAATATCAGAGAAGTACTTAAAATTACTAACGGGATAATAATATTCGTTTTTTCGCCAACCCTAAGAACACACTATAGTTCTATATGTAAATTGGCAATTTGACAAAAAGGAATTGAGCAAAATGCATTGCTGAATAATACTGTCTATTTTTTTTTTGTAGTAAAGTGCGTTTTATCCTTGATCATGTTTGTTATTGCATTTATATTAACAAGTATTAGGAAATGTTATTCAAATATACAACGAATATTTGCTATTTCACGAACTTCCATTCATTTCTTACGCGATAGTAAGATACTATTCCAATGTGTATTTTTTTATGAAAACAGGAGATCGCAAATATGTCGATTACTGCATTTTTGATTACGACGGCAGAGTTCATAAAATGGCTGCTACATAAATATTTCTACATATTATCTTTATAATACATATTTCCTCATTCCTTTATTATTAAACAAACATAATATACATACGCGCAAATATTATCAGCTGCGTATCAGTGGAATATTATCTGTTGAACATTAATTGCAAAGCGCAGACAGTGGAAATACGCTCCTATTGATACGGAATAAGGTGCAAATTTTAATTTCGTCTCATTTTGTCTTTGTTTTTATGCACAGTCTTAGGTTTAAGCTACATCTGGCAGCACGTATCGCCTTTCTTTCGTCGTTTTATACTTTTCTGTCGTTCAAAATCGCTATTTGCTAGAGTGATATATTGTTTTTGTAAAAAAATTGACATTCAAAACGATTAAATAATCTCTATGAAAAAAAAATTACAAAGTTACTTCTAAAATTCAATTTGCTCTCTTAATTGTACTTTTCTTTTATAGTAAAAAATGACAATAATAATAATATACTTAATTGCACACAACAGAACAAAAAACAAAAACAAGTTAACGGAGAATCATAAAAAATGTACAAAAGGCGGCCTCTTTTAAGCAAATTAAAAATAGTTTTTATAGATATGTTGCCAAGCGTAATAAGATAAATAAGGACAGTGTTTTGTCTAATAAATAAATAAATAAATCGCAAATGCACGTGCTTACCAAAGCGTCATCAAAGCCATTATTATATAAATATGTTGGTGTTAAATACACGTGATAGTCGTACATTGAATAACAAATTACAAACATACAATCAAACACCTGAATACATATAGATATTATTAAATCATTTTAGTGCAAAATATTAAGCTTGCTCTATAATTTAATTTAAAGATGAGCGTGATCCGTCGATACGCATATTATAAAGAGAAAAGATTTAATTGTTATAAACTTCAAAAATACTAGACCGATTATAAAAAAGCTACATCATCCCGGGTGACATAGATTATAATTTACGCAAGCTCGAAGTCTCGAGAAACGGCTAGTTTGGCGCAAAGTTAATCTAATTTACAAATATTAGAATTTGTTGAGTAGCTTGGGGCGTAGTGGATAAGCGCTGAGGCCTGCGATTGTTGTTAAGCAACTTACCTATGGATCGGTCTATGATGGGTGACCAAAAAATATTACCTCGAGCTAATCCTTGCTTCGGAAAGCACGTTCAGCTGTTGGTTCCGGCTGCATTTGCAGCCGTTAATACCCTCCAATCCGCATTGGGTTAGCGTGGAGGGTCATAGCCCATCCTCCTTGCACATCTATAAGGAAGGCCTGAGCTCCTGAAATGGTGGCATAAAAGGACGTCAAGCGTCTTATGCAAGTACTAAAGTGTTAGTACGCGACGGATGTATGTCTTAACATATATGTATTTGTCGATTCTAATTTTCCGCAACCGACGATACGCGGCGCATCTTCCGTCAAATATGTACAGACCCTTACGGTATTCTTGGATAAGGTATCTTTATACGTATTTTATTATCAAAGATTATACTTCTTTATGATTAAGTGTCATTCAGTAACAGAGGTGTCAAACGCATGGCACTTTGTTGGAGGTCGTTTAAGGTTTTTGTAGTGTACTTTCAAAGCATAGATACTAATAATAAAAAGAGTAAAGGTTTGATTCTTTCTTTGTTTTGTTTACATCGATAGGATCGGAAGATCGGAAGTTAAATAAAATTCTCCTACCAGGAAGATACATCGTAATACGTGGATGACATAGTCTTTATTTTACGCGAGCAAATTCGGGAAAATAACTAGTATTATATAAAAAAATAGCATCCTACACTTCTTCTCCATAGAAACTTTAACCGTTTTATAAAATCGAAGACTACAATTAGCATTAAGTTTAAACCATTGGCAGCCTATAGCAAATTGACAATTATAGAAGAGGAAACGTCAAATTGAGACGTGTTGACTTCATTTGTTCGCATAATTATTTAAGTCGGAGGCCTAATTGACTCATTTTTAACATTGTCGCAATCCCTTTTATGTGATATTTGAAAAATACAACATGTGATAACAATTGCAACCAAGGTCACCTTGGTCGGAGCTCTGGGGGCCAATTCTACTAAATAAATTTTGTTTAAATCGAATCGAAAACGGATCGAAACCGAACGTAACTACTGTTTTTAATGGTTTTCCTATTCTACAAAGTGATATACGATATAATTTCAGTTCTATTTTAGCTGGAATTGTATCGTATGTCACTTAGTAGAATAGAAAAACCATTCAAAACTGTAGTTCCGTTCAGTTTCGATCCGTTTTCGATTCGATTTAAACAAAATTTATTTAGTAGAATTGGCCCCCTGATTGGCAACCATGTGGATAGCCTTTATGTGCCATGATCACCTTTGTTGGAAAGCTGGTTTACAACTGTGTGAAACACACTTTTCCAGTGATTGGTGTTGTGTAAAGAGTGTGGGATATTATTTTTACCTCTTTTCTGTGTTGTCCTGGAGATGCTAAATGGGTAGATCAGGCCCTGACTGTACCATAAAAGGCTCATTTAAAGACTAAATTAGAATGTTCACATGAAATTACACGTTGTTAACATAGTTTTACTAATAGGTTCCACAGGGCTATTCTTTTAAAAATACAGCGATAAACACAGATACAGAATTAGAGTTTCAATACACATAAGTATGTAAGCGTTGTATTATAAGTACAGTTTTGCCCTTTTTTACTTATCTTTGGTGAATTTCGACTGCTCAAATTTTGAGACAGGTTCTTATGACGACAAAGACGAAAACTGATTTTTCCCATATAGTTAATGTGTTTCTGTGCCCATATAAACTATTTCTGGGAGTAAATTTTAAAGTACTCGAAGACATTATAAATAAGTACAATGCTATACTGATAAATATAAAGAAATTCATCAGTCCTGTTTTGTCTCGGATATCTCAATGATTAGAGCAGTCGCCCGGATTGTGAAAGATTGTGGGTTCGAGTCCCATCTCGTGGTACCGGAACTGGTGAATTTTTTAAACATTTTTTTCTTTTAAATAACTTAAGTTTTCCTATTTAGTTAAATATTAAATAATAGTTTTAAATTGTCTAAAAATAGAGTTTTAACTGTTTGGAAAAAAAAATTTTTTAATTCTCTTTGTCGCTGGAACTCTGAGATGGGACTGGAACCCATGACCTTATTACTTTCTAAGGCCTGTATTTTTATAATTATAGAAAAAATCTGGTTAAATAAAAATAATAGGATTATTATGGGAGCTAAGCTATTCGATATATATTTTTTATTCATGAAGCATGATAGTTACACAGTTGAAATTGGAAGACGACTATTTTTTTGTTGTCCGTCACCGTCAGGTTATTTGTAAAAAAAAAAGTATTGTAAAAAAAATTAAGAAATATTTTTATTATTTTTTGCCTAATCATTAAATTACATTGAGTTAAAATGACATTTGACGTCACGCTTTTGTAAATTTTCCACTCCTCGAATTTGCTTGCTGTTTCCAAGTTACTTCTTGTTAGATTGAAGTAAAAAAGAACCTATTTTTACCGATGACGTATATTTGTTGGCGCTATAACAATAAGTATTAAAATATATATTAAAATATATATATATTTAAATAAATATTTGAATGGGCTCCCATACAACATTTGACCTTTTTTCTTTGTTTCCAGTAGGGAACCTTTCGTGCGAATCTGATTGTCACTTTATTGCTTTGTTTTTAATATTCTTTAAAAATTTGATACGTTTTAAATGACGTTAGTTCGCGGCCACTTATTGAGAATAATGATACCATTTCAAACGAAGAAAATCATCAAAATATATCCAGCATCGTTTTTGGCAGCATCGCCTTATTTTAAAGTTGGTTAATAAATTGAATAAATGAGCCAAACTATTCCAGCATCGTTTTGGCTGAATCGAAACGCCTTATTTTAAAGTTGGTTAATAAATGAGCAAAACTATGTATTCGCATGAATCCGAAAGGACATATGTACACAACAAAAAATGAACACAGTGTAATAATTCATTCCGACATTTTCAAATAATTCAAAACCACTGGCACTGCCTAGTTAGATAAGTATTGTGATAATACCAATGTTTTTGAACTCAGTCTAGCGACGCGTGCGCGCATAAGCGAACGTTGCTATAATATACCCGCAAAAATCGCTCGTTCTAAATTTAAATAAATGATGTAAACAAACCAGCCAGTGTTATGTTCCGGCCAAAAAGTTTTCCGTGAGCGATAAACTAGAATGCATTTGTTGTAGTGTGTTGATCATTTAAAAAAATAATTTAAATGAAATTCTTTTCTTTTGTTAGAGTGGTGATAAAAAACGATTTTGAAATAATTATTTCAAATTGTTGAATGATTGTCTCTTTCGATAGGCGAGTGTTATCGATAAAACAATGAAATAATTAATTGTTGTTAAAGACAAAAGTGCTTACTTGTGTTAGTTTTATATAAATAATGAAGCATCAAAAGACCTAGTGTTCGGAAAAATTCTAGGACAAGTTTGTTAGCAGTATTTTTTATCATTTTGAACGTATGACTGTGGTTAAAGAGGTTGGTATTAAAATTACTGATTTTTTTAATCAAATGGTTGATATTTGAATGTTTAAAAAAAAAACCGCTAGTTATACCACAAATTTCTCAGTACATGTGTTTTCTGTTACATAAAATATTTAATAAATATGTAATTTAATAAAATAGATATCCGTAATTAATAAACCTATAGTAACATAATTAACAAACTTCACCCTGGATTCAAAATTAAGTGTTAAAAATCTTCATTTTGAAAATAATTTTACAAGTAAACTCAAATGATTTTCTAATTTAAAATTTGTTTATGATTATTTTATTCATTCGTCTATTTTTTTTTTTGATTATTTTATTTTGTGCAAAGATCGAAGCTAATTTTTCCGTATGCTATTTTGTTGATAAAAGAATAAAATGTTACAATTAGTCTTAGAAAAATTTAGCTATGTAAATAATATATTTTCTGTCACATTTCAACAAAATAAATTAAACATATATTATCTGTTGACTGATTCTGAAACGTGAAGCATTAGTTCACACTTCGCTTATCACTAAAACCTACTTAGGTAGACAATTAAAAAATAAGTTAAAAATTTATATAATTTTCCTTGACACTTTTTATGCCTTGTGCCTAAGCCACAATGAGGAGAATACAACTAACAACGTATCCAGACAACGTATGTAGGCATCGTACTTACATTCTATAGATAAATAAAGTGATTTCTCAACAGCGTGGCCCCGACATTTGAAGTAGGGGAATAACCTATAATATACACGATTATAAAGTTGAGTGCGTCCAAAACTTGCTAAGTCTTTGCGGTTTTCCTTAAAAGCCTTGTATGTTCTGCATATTTTCCTTATAAAAAGCCTTGATAGCATAAATTGAGGACAAAACGTCCTTTCTGTTTACAAATAAAAAAGAAAACTTTGTTTTGCCTTTATTAAAGTGAGACAACACTATAGACTAGGGTTGTCAACCGTACTCTAAAATAAAGCAATGGCTTTATCGGGTAGATGTACTGTTAATTATATAACACCAATAGAGGAGACTAAATAATCTTGTGGTAGTCGCAGATATATGATGCATACCTATCGTAGCTAAAATAGTACATACTAAATACCTTTATTAAAATATCAAATAAATAATAGGTTTTGTTATTTGTAAGACTCTTTTCTTGAAAATTCTTTACTTTACATAAGTAGATCATCATCATCATCAGCCCTTTTACGGCCCCACTGCAGGGGCTCAGACCTTCCTTATGAATGGTTGCGGAGCTGGCCCAATACGGATTAGAGGGCATTAACGAAGGCAAATGCAGCCGGGATCTACGGCTTAACATGCCTTCCGGAGCACAGAGTATCTCGAGATAATGTATTTTTTTGGTCACCCATCCCGTAACCGACCCTTGTGAAAGTTGCTTAACAATAACGATCGCGGGCCGTGGCGCTTATCCATTAAGCACCGAGCTACTCTACTACTACAAAACTCTACTACTACTGTTACTACTACTACATAAGTAGATATAAACGTTGAACTTATACTCAAAAAATGTAAATAGGCCATAAGTCTCGCCAAGATATTATTTAGATTGTAACTATTCGTACTTTTTATTGGTCTGAGATTCGTACATTAAAATTAATAATAAAAAATATTTTTCAAACGCTACTTTTTTTTTTCATGAAATTGTCCTTACTTTCTTCTATGGCTGTTTTCCATATCTCGCTCGTTAAAATTATATCTTGCGCCCGCCAATTGAGAATCTTTTCAAAATAGCTCCTTTACATTACGAGATAGAATGTGCTTGCTGACTGAATGCAATATTTGATTGGTTGGTAAACTAATTACAGCCCAAAAATAATTTGTCATATAATTTTCTGTTCCTAAAAATCTGTTTTTAGGGGATTCCAAATATGGGGGCCCGTTACATGGGCATCTGGTGACACTGTACATCACTGAAACATATGAAAAAATCTTGACACATATCTCATGCGAAATTAACGTGACCATATTCCATTTGTCCTCGACCGAAAATTCCATAAGTTTCGAATGATTACACTTTTATAATTTTGTAAAAATTGTACACGTTCAAACGCCGTTGCTTCATTAATAATCGAAAAATACGTATCTTTAAAGTCTTATTAGCATTTCGAAAATATACGAAATATCGTTTTCAGAGAAATAGAATAAGTGTTCAGGTGCCATATTAATTCGTACAAGTAGTCAAAACTCATACAGAATCCCTCTAAGATACTTCATACATTGTCACACGCTAAATATTTGCCATGCATGATGAGAAACAATAGCTGTTTAATATTCTAGTGCTAATTCTAGACATCAAAATATCTGGCAATGCTCACAGTAAATGTATTTAGTATCTAATAATATGTACTCACCAGTATATTTGGTGCTTCCTATTTATAGTTATAACTGTGATAATATTATGGAATTTTTTCAGTACACTATTTATTTATTATGTTTTGATACCATTATTAGATAATAGGTATTTACGAAGAATTTTTTTAACTTCTTAATTAAATTTTAAAATTTATAACATTTTTATTTTTATTTTCACATTTACAAATATTTAATTCCGCCGGTTGGCTTCGCCCACGTGATTTTGAATTATACATAAAAATCTTCCTTTTGAATCACCATATCTATGAAAAAAACCGCATCAAAATTCGTTGCGTAGTTTTAAAGATTTGCATACATATTTTGGGATATAGGGACAGAGAATGCGACTTTTATACTATGTAGTGATGAACAAAATTATATAGGCATATTGAAAAAACACGGTCATCCACCTCAAAGTATGGTAGGTATATTATAAGAAGCAATGTGTGAACATCTTTTTTATATTTAATCTCTGATGTACGCACGTTTAGAACTCTATTTACAATGCATTAAAATTTTAAATTAAGTAAAGTGATTTGTCAGTTTTGTATAGTCGTGATGTGCTGTTGACTGTACCTACTTCAAATTCTTGTATAATTTTTGTTCGACATTCTAATTCTAATTCATCGATCTGTATATATTATCCCATAATAAATTATTTGAACATGAAGTCCTTTTAAGAAACATTAAACCAGAGGGTTTTAAATTAGATAGGTATTATGTATAAATCAAAATTTTACTGAAACAAAGGCTATATAATAATACCTAAATGAAATATTAAATCTATGCCTAAAGCAAAAAAATATTGTCCATGAAGATATTAAATTTATTACAAAGAAACCACGTGAAATGCTACTAGGAAAATTTTGTTAAAGCTTACTTTTTTTAGTGATCAGTTTTAGTGATCAGTGTTGATGTAGTTTTAAGATGAAACAATAATATAAAAAAAAATGAACTACACAGCAAAATACATGTTTGCTTTAATCTGTCTGTCCTGCTGTTTGATATTTATAAGAAACATAAAATATTGTACGTACACCTGTTAGGTAGAACACAGTGGAACTATTATATATTTTAACAACGTATATACTTAACCAATAAAATGATTTGATATAGTTTTATTGTGGCCGAAATAGATCTTTTTTTGTCTCAATTGACCTTGATGCGTATAATTTAATAATTCACATAAATATCTCACGATTATAAATGTCGCCACTTCCGCTATTCGAATCAAGCCAGCCCCGCCATTTTGTAAAAGCCCAAACCCGAATTCGAATACACTCAGGTGTCCGAAGACACCGGTTCACTTCAAAAAGCGGCATCGACTCAACCTTGAATTTGTAATAACGTTTTGTGGCATAAGTGAAGTGAGTTTCGAAATGACATAGGAATAGAATATATGAGACACGTATATTCAATCATTTGTGGTTTGTATTTTTATACAAAAAAATGGCATCAATAAAATTCCTACATTAAATGACATTAATTCGGTGAGTGAATTCGAATTCGAGTCTGGATTTTTACAGAATAGAGCGGATTAACGGTGGTTCACGTGCCTTCTGAAGCATGGAAGAGCTCGAGATAGTTAATTTTGGTCACCCATCCTATGACCGACCTTTACGAAAGTTACTCTTCTTCCAAACTGGCTAATCATTGCGTCGTCAAGCTTTAATACTGCCAAAAACTTTTTCGATTATTATAAATAACTATGATAACAGAAGTAAATCATTATAAATCTACAGGAGTATACCTAAATATATTTTTGTTATTACATGGTACTAATAAACTACACGAAAATAAACCCAAATTAAAAATAATAATATATTAGTTCAATTTAAGAGAAACAAAGTCGATAGGCACAACAGAATTGGCACCATTGCTCAAACATCAAATTAAGATACAACGTCATATTTTGATAGTCAAAATAAAATCGCGTCTTTTTGTGGTCATTAATGTCACCTTATAATGAGTTGACGACAGTACTACAAATAATCTCAGAACAGCAAGCAACAAGCAACTGTACTATGGTAATTAGGAATTTTTGCTTTTACACCTTTCGACATTAATCGTGCCGAAGTCATTAAGCCTCGAGTTAAATAGATCACGACTCGTAACCGTTATTTTCATAAATACATATTTGAGTAATAAATACGCGACATAGGTTACTCTGCTATAAAATAATTTTAAAGCTATTACAAGCAGGTAAGAGTTGATAGTTCGCATCTAAAATAATTAATAAATATACAGATAAGAAAGATAAAATTCCTTTCATTTTAAAATTTTCCTATATTACAAAATGATAAACAGATAGTAAAACATTGAATTAAAGTGAATCGACGTACAAAACTAAAAGACAAGTCTGACACTTTTCATTTGTGTTGCATTGTATAGGATATTAGCAGTCAGCAAATGTTAAAAAATCAGTGCCACGGGCCCCACGGAATTGACCCCTCGCTATTATCTGACCAATATTTGAAATAAAATAAGTCACGCTTCTGCCTTAACTCACATTTTTAAGTATATGTAAACATAAACTGAAGAAATAAAACTGAAGTCACAGATTAGTTGTGTTGGTACCTATTCCGAAAGCAAAGGGTGCCATTTCCGTTTCATTTGCAAAGTTACTGATTTC